CAGGAGTAAGCTCGGCGCGGTTAATCGCGACGCTGAAAGATTGCAGGAATTCCTTAGGGTCGCCCTTTCCGTTGTACCTTTCCAATTTGATTTTCTTGGATCCGCGGACTGAAACGCTTGTGATTCTTCGGGTGAAAGCGGTTTGCTGAGTTTCCTCGAGCACACGGTCGAGTTCCGGAGCCGAGCTAGTGGCACGGTGAATTTTCGAACTCATTTCCAGGACAGCGCGTCTTAGTTCGGCAATCTCCGTATCTCGCGGATTGGTGCTGCCCATTGTTTGGACGGGCTGAGCTGGCTGAGGACGGGCCGAGCTTCCAGGGGGGACGTAGGCAGCGTTTGCGCTTCGACTTGTTTGCAGACGGTTGATCTCGTCCATGGAAAATGCTTGAGCCGCGGCCAGAGATGCGAACCGAGCATCTGTTCGTGCGTCCTGTCGACCTAGATGGTCGAGGATGTTCTGGAGCAGCCGGTTTGGCTCGGCGGGAGTTGGCGCCGCAGCGTTCTGTTCTGCACGGGTTTCCTCGAGGTTCGTTGGACGTCGTCTGCTGGGAGAGGTCGGTTCGTCTTCCTCCTGGTGTGCCGGGGGCATTTCGTTTCTTACCGCTTCTGCTGGGCCCTCGGGCGTTTGAGGTAACGATGCGGGAATAGCTACCGAGGTATGGGTAGCCTTCCTTGGTGGAAGTACTCCTGGTGGGATCGGCGTCACTGTCTCTCCTCCCGTGGAGGATGCGTTGTCGTCTCGGACGCCTGCGCTGGTTCCCTGGTTTCCATCGGTTGCCATTGTGTTGTCGCGGGCTCGTTTTGTTGACTGGAGATATCTCTGAGCTATCCCCCTACCTGGCGCGCCAACTGTTGATGCACGAATCACACAAGTACGAAATAGGGTTTCTCTAGGGAAGTAAAAAGAATCTCCCAAAACAATACGAGCCGAGAATACAAATGACGTTAAACGAGCCGGAGTGGATGACTTCGGACTAGAGGTTCCGGGTCGTTTCTGGGGACGAACTGTATGTCGTTTTCCGAGCTGAATGAAACTTGAGGTCGCTTTCCTTTTCTAGACTGAGATCGTTCTTCGTATCCTAGCCGAGCTCTTCGTGTCCTAGCCGAGCTTTTCGTGTCCTAGCCGAGCTCTTCGTGTCCTTGCCGTGTCAGCGTGATTTTCGATGGATGTGACAGGACTGGTCGTCCTGCTTTTATAACCCTGTCGGGTAGGGCACACTCTGACGGTCTTTTCCGTTTTTGCCCTTGAATGTGATGACGTGGCGAGCCTATAAGGCGGTGAGATCGTCTGGGCTTTTCCGTTCGTGGGCCTGGACCATCTCGAGATTTTATGGGAATGGGCCTTCTTTCTTGAATTGGGCCTTGTATCCCTAAAGCCCAATTCTTCCCTCAACAAATAGAAAGAAAACTAGATCTACTGTTTATGTCTTCAAAGGAGAGAAAAAAACACAATGATCAAAGCAACAATTGTGCCGAATATAAATCTAAAAACGGTATTTATTAATCTCAATATACAATACGATATTTACTAATATCTAAAAAGATTGTGACTTCTGCCGCAAGTCGCAGCTATAATACGTTGTATATTCACAACTCTTCTTTCGGTTTGTTAGATTAATCATTCAAGCGTAGCGGTTGGGTGGAGTACTAGTATCGTTGCTATGGCATCATTGTTTCTCCGATTTGAAAATTGTAATAAGTAAAATTTACAAGTTTACGTACTCTAATATTAAATTATAAATTTTAGATTAATTCATACTCTTATACTACAGTTGAATACACATGGATATAACCGGGTGCTTGTCTCCGGGTGGTAAAGGAACCTCGGCTGAGGCACCCGCCACCCGGCTTCGAGTCCCGGCCACTGCGTAATTTACCTGCGGGGCGCAGCGTCCCAGACCACCAGTTCCGGGGGGCCCTTAATTGGAGGCTTAAAAATCCCAGGTCGCGGGCTTAGGCCCAGTGGACTAGTCAGATCACTGTGTGGTCTGGACACTAGGTTACCAAAAAAAATACACATGGATATTGATATTATATCACTTACACTACCGATTGTTTTTGGTATCAAAACTCACAACTTGTTTTAAAAGAAAATCATCATGTGCACAAACGTGGTCTAAAGTCTAGTATTTGATTATTAGATTCGAATACAAATCGAAATCGAAAGTATATCAAAATCTTTCATAGTATATTATACTTTGCTTTGAATACTATTATTTGTAAACCAAAAGTATTAAAAACCGAAAAAAACCAAACATAAAACAAATAACAATGACATAACATTTTTCTAATTTATTTGATGCTTAAGAGATAAATAATATTAACATGCAATACATCATCTAATTTATTTCTTATAATAAAATATTTGAGAAATTACATAAAATTTATTTCCATATTTCCCTTTTTTTTTCCGAAGCATTGCTGAGAATACATGTGGAAGGCATGACGTGGAATAGCTCCGTTGAACCACGCATTTTCAGTCCAAGCTTGAACTTCTCTACGGTGACGTGGATTAATAGTTCCATATTTCCCTTATTTTATTTGTGACGCATTGCTGAGAACACAAGGTACTCCCACCATCAATAAAGATGGTTGGGTATTTACAGCGAGAATTACAACAATCACAAAATGGTCGAGTTGCACGATTATTAAGAAACACAAAGTTTCCCGGTTTAAACCATATGAAGTCTCCGAGTGTACATCTGATGTGGAAAGTGATGCCACAATGATCACATGAATAGAACCATTGCTCCGGATTTATTGTTTCCTCACAAACGTCGCACCAGCATTGGTCACGTTTTTTTTCTCCATAACATAGAGATAAAAAATGATCTTTATCATTTTCGTGTTTAACAATTGTTGGCATACTAGAGCATTTAACGTCTAAATCAAATTCACATTCTTCACAACTCAAAACCATTGTTGCCTTATCTCCACAAGCATTACAAATTCGGTCTCCTGATGAGTAGTTGGCGTATAACAAATGAGGATGACTTTCATGGAAAAAAGGCTCGGAAATAGAACCACATCGCACATCCAAGACTATTCTGTTATCATCACTCTTGTACCTAAAACCTTGGAAAAAGTTCTGACAAGCATCGCAAAAGCTTATTAAATAAGCCGGCAAATCTGTGATTAGAGTGGTCGAGATCTTGTAGAAGGAATCTATTTTCTTTTTTGGAAGATACGCACATTTTTTATGAAGGCTGAAATCATCACATTCCATGCAACTATAGAATGGACTAGAAAATATGGGATAAGTGCATGCTTTACACCATACGCATTCATCGTTAGCATCACTTTCTTCTTTAAGCTTTAAAGTATGCTCCTCGTGACTAAAATGCTTTATTACTCCTTCTTCGATCTCCTCGTATGGTTTCACCTCCAGAGTATTTTCTGATATGCCTTCAAGTTCAACCCCATCCCATATCTCGAATCTTGTGGCACATCTTAAATGAATGGCAAGATCAGGACATTGAGAGCAAGAATAAGCCCCACATGTCCAGTTTATCTTTTTATGACATACTCCACATTTCCAATCTCCGGCGTCTAGAGAATGATTGTAATAAATACGGTGATCATGACGATAGATCTTTATAACGCGTGGTTTATCAATACAATTTCTATGAACCATGAAATTGCACTGAGGACATACGTAAGGATTTGGATCGTCATCCATTCCACAAGCGCTACATACAAAACTTCGTTGCGGCATCAGGATGAGTGAATGCTCATGAGCCTTAAGGTTGGTTAGAGTGAAAGCGGGTGGATTCTTTGCACAATTGACATCCACACTGAAATTACAGATAGAACAATGATAAAACAAGTTATGAAGTTTGTTTTCACACAAACAACATTTTCCATCGGTGTAACATGGAACATGCGTAAGACGCTTGAGAAGGTGCTTAGGATGACAAGAGTAGTTGATATCTGGTGTTGATTCGGCGCAATCTTTGTGAAAACTCAAATCACATAAGTTACATGCATAAGGAAACCGGTCATCAAGCAGTCCACATAAATGACAAGTAAACATAATCATCTTTGAAACAAGGGATAAAGAATGCTCGTGGGTCTTTGTACCCTCAATTTTTGTCACAACTTCTTTCCTTGCGCATATTAAATCGATGGCAAAATCACATATTGAACAATAATAATACATCTTTGCTAAGTTACCTCTACAAAGCTTGCATTCTCCATTGACATCTTCATTTGCTGCAAGTACCTTGAGGTGCAAAGAATGTTGTGGATGATAGAGGTTGCGAATCTCTAGACCGGATCTGGCACACTCATTGTGAAAGTAGAGTCGAGTCTGTATGCAACGATAACCTTCACTATAGTAGTCTTTACCATGATTGCAGCCGTCACATTGTAAACCACGCGATGCAAATAGTGTATAATGTTTATCGAGTAGTATTGTATAAGATGGCATGTTTTTTTTTTTTTCCTTGCTCTTATTTTTAGTATTTTCTAAATTTTCTGATATTTTGGTTTCAAATAATGATGAGAGCTTCATATATTATACCTTTTATAGATTTAAGTTATTCTTTGTTTACATGAACATAATACTCATAGAATTATGCTTGTCCTAATATTGATAACAAGTCTCTACGAATAAATTCTTGCAACTAAACTATCTATTTTCTTTTGTCGAAAGAAAGGAAAGTATATCAGATTTTCTTAAGAATATTTATACATCTAAGTCATTCTTTGTTTAATTAAGAAGAAATTCCAATTTCAATGTGGGAATTCTAACAGACGGGAACCATATGAGCTGAATATTTGTATTTACTTGGTAATTGAGACAAGGTATCAGAGTGATAAACAAGTTAAAAAGTCAATTAAGGAGAAAGTAAAAACAAAAATTAACGCAGTTATCTTATTTGGTCAAACACAATTATTTTGAGTCACCCCCAAGTAAAACTTAGTTTGGAACTTTGGTCCGGTGAGAATCAACGGCAGATCACACAAGCCTTTCGTTTAAGTCAGAAAATGTACCAAAGTGAAAAACTAAGCGATTATTACAGTCAACAGAGTCTATAAGCCAAACATGGATGAGATTTTGAATTTCTACTCATTCTATGAGCAACCCAAAAATCCACTAAAATCGGATCGTTGAACGAGATTGGAGCGACACTGAATTCCAGTATAGCTTTGACTTACTTGTACGAAAGCTTCCATACCTCTCTGACATTGGATGAACCATCTGTGACTTCAGACACCAATGTTGAAGCAAGAGCACCTGCAAAGAAGATAACTTTATGCGGACTTAGTAAGTGGGTTATAATATCATTGTAGAGGATGAACAATGCAACCCTTGCTTTTTATTCATCATCGAATAGACCATCTTACCGTCTTTCTCTATCATAGACAAGAATTGCCTTGTCCCTCCACCAACCCCAAAATAGTACTTCTTTGCAGCCATATACACTGCTCCATCAGGATACGCCAGGCACTGCACAGAACCAAGTGTTGACGCTCCAATGAACCTTTAAGAATGATCTTTAAAGTTTCTGCTATCTAGGAGAAGACGAGAGTGTACCCTTTTAATCAATTGATAGAGACTTTTCTGAGCGGAGATGGAATATATCGTCTCAGCCATTAAAATGATGTCATAACCACCCTTCTTATCAGTCTCACCATCACTATTAACTAATGGAAGAACCTGATGAACTTGACTCCACTCACCAGCGAAGAAGCGTACTTCTGCTTCACCTACTGAGACAGAGGAAGACTTCTCGGACAGATTAGCATTCAGATTCGGAATGGTGAGACATCGAAGGACCTCAGCATTGAAGTCCTGGAAATGGACGACATCTGAACCCTGGACACCAAAAGAAACCATAAGATCTAAAAAGATGGGCCTTGGCCACAGAGTATAACAGAGCTCAGAAAGCATCAACTTACCTTGAGACACGCATAGATTCCTGGAAGTGCATGACCACATCCAAGCTGAAACCATAGGTAAGTGATGTGAAGAACAAGTGATATTTATTGTTTGACAACTAAGGCAAAAGACCCTACCTCGAGAACCCGCTTTCCAGAAAGTGATAAGTTTCCAGTTTGTGATTCTTTTTCAAGAGCTTTGACAAGATCAATTGATCCTTCCCAAAGCTTAAGCCCGCCTAGATTCAATCGAATTCGAGATTAACGAAAAATGGATAATGCAGTGGGATACACATCACATAAACCATAACTAGAACAAATCATTATACCTTCATAGACTCCAGGAACCAAATCTGAATTAGGCAATCCAAAGACCTCTTTAGTGCTCACACGACCCTATAACCAAACCACAAACTAACAAAACTCACTTCCAATAATTTCGTCTGATTTTGAAGTTTTTATAGCATCTGAGAGTCTCAAATTTTGGTGAATTTTCTTCGAAAGTGATAACAGAAACATACCTTCAAAAGAGTGATCTTGCCGATAGTCACTTTATCCACTTCGAAATCGACGGAGGAAGACACCTACTGCGACGAAATTTCCAGAAATCAAAAAGAGGGAAAATTACATAAGAAATTGGAGATGAAGTTGCAGAGGAAGTAGTAGTGACGATACCTCGGAGGATAATACTTCAACAGGAGGAGGCGGTGGAGGAAGAGTTGGCTCTGGTGAATCAAGGAACCCTAAACCTAGACCAGAACCTTGAGAAGACGGAAATAGCTGAAACGTCGGGTTCGTCGCCATTGACAAAACTTCGGCGGCAGCTCTTCAAAGCGTAGAAGCCAGAGCACAGATGAGCAAAAATACAAAACCCACCGAACCGGTCGGTACGAGATTAGATTTATCGGTTCACTAAACCAATCAATTATTTTTCTTTTTTTTTTCCTCTTTTTTTTTACCCGGCAACCTATCAATTAAACTTTGGGATCCCTCAAACTTTTTGAATTAAATCAAACACAAATTTTAGAAGAGTTTAAACAATTTACGGAAAGTACCATTTTCACCATTCATAAATTTTCATATATATAAAAAATCTAACGTAAAGAACGTTTTTACGAAGAAATAAATTTAATTTACAGAAGATTGTTGTCCGCCCAAACTGTAGAATAATGGTCTAGACCGTCTAAACTATAAAACGGTCTAGACCGCGCCAAAGATTTAGTTTATTTTACTGGTAGCAAGTGGCACCCATTCAAATCCTATATTAAATTTTAAATAAATTTAAATCATTTCCACACTACACTCAAACCAAATTGAGTGGACCAAACTAGATGCTTAAGTAATAATGAACTTAACCAAAACGGTTGAAAAATGATCAAAAATCATCTTTTTGTTTTTTCATCATTCATAAACTGTAATATACAGTAGTATAGATAGAGATTAAGTCCATTTGACTCCGCCTTCCCCACCGAAGTTCGACTCCACAAGTCGTGTTACCCCGCGTAGTAGGGATTGGCTATGGCAACCATTCAAATCCTAAATAAATTTAAATCATTTCCACACTACTACACTCAAACCAAATCGAGTGACCAAACTAGATGCTTAAGTAATAATGAACTTAACCAAAACGGTTGAAGAAGGATCAAAGATCATCTTTTTGTTTTTTCTTTTGTATCAAAATAGCTTCTTTTTATTGTTTTTCCACTCTTGAGCAAATTGCTTCTACCTATATAAACTAAAAAAGCCACAATAATGACACATTTTCCACTTTATGCCAAAACTTGAGGTTCTTCATAAGGAGAAAAAGTATACTTATAATCATCTCTATCATCAAACCCATCACTACCATCTTTCCCTTGTCTCATCATCTCTCTCACTTCTTCAATCCTCTCCAACATTCCCTTCACAGCCAACTCAAATGCATCTTCATTCCCATCCAATCCATACTTCGGATCAGCGTAGACCACCTTCGGTATCAACCTTAGAACCTCTTCTCTCAATCTCACCACTCTTTCCTCTGGAATCTCAATCAACCTCTCCTTGATTTTGATATTCCACTCCTTTACATCCTTTACCGGTAGATAAACCGAGTAACTCGAGTGGTTCTTGGGTAAATGCCACTTGTATTGAGCATATGCTGTCCCCGGATGGAAGAACACCGGAATGCAGCCTGCCAATATCGAATCAAACATTGACCTTCTAGTGTAAGAATCACCCGGTGGCTGGAGACAAAACACCGAGTTCCTAAAAACCTTCATCACATTGACAGGGTTGTCACAATTCACATTCCCATAGTTACAGTCTAGCAAGTAACATTGCTTCTTTGATTCCAAACATTCATCAATGATCTTCCCACGAACAGAGTCTTTATATTCAGGCCTTGGAGCACCCGCAAAGGTAAATAGATACTCCCGTTTTTGAGACCTCATTAGCTCTTGCCACTCCACAACTTCATCCACTGATCTAGGATGGAAACAGGTTGGATACGGAATAGCGTAATCGTTGTTCCAAGAACTCGATTCAATAGACAACATCGACATGTTTCGCGACTCCGGTAAGAACCTAAGCTTGCTTCCCCAATCAGATTCATTATCAGTCTGTCTCCTGAAATCCCAAGAAATCCTTCCTGTAACCAAGAAATGGTCTCTACCAGACATTCGACCCCACTCTTTCTGTACCACAAGCCAATCCATCAGCTCATGAGACGAAGAATCTCTAACCGAAATATTGAAACCCCAAAGATACCTACTCATATCAAGACCTGCGTAAAACGGCACGAAAACCGCAGAAGCTAGAGACGAATCATTGGTCAAACACCTGTAATTCATCATCTTGTTGTGGAATATAACCTCGAGCATAAACTGATTGGTCGTAAACCAACTTTGTTTCAACAACACATTCTCGTAATTCTTAATCACAGGACCAAAACCATAGTTTTCGATATAAGGACAAATATCCTTCTCGGTTCCTCTAGTAATCTTAAAACAATTATCAAGCAATTCACCATTGAATCTATAAGGAAGTTCATGAACATAAATATACCGACCGGAGCAAGACGAGTCAGGAGATGGGTCGTCGAGAAATCGAGAAAAGTTGTCATCTTTGGTGAATTCAGAGGAAGTTGATTTCTGGGTAACGTCGGAAATGGAGAAAGCGGTTTCGTCTGTGTCCGTGAAGAGAGCAGAGTAGTCGAAACAGAGGAGGACGAAACAGAGGATAAAGAAGAGTGGGACAACGAACCAAACATTGTTATGGTTGTTGTTGTTGTTGTTGGTACGGAACTTCCCCGTGGCGATGGAGATGGGTTTCTCCATCTGAGAATAATTCTTGGGTCGCATCAAAAAAGGAGAGAGAGAGAGAGAGAGAGAAATCGAAATCGGAGAAAATAAGAAAGGAGAAGATTTGTTTGTTGAGAAGTTAAAGGGAGAGAGTAGTGTGACCATGAATTTGGGAAGAAGAGTGAGAGAGTTAAGAGTGACACATGGATGTGTTCGAGATACTAAAAGTGAGCGTTTCGTTGTCGGCAAATTAAACGGATCAAATTCTCGGGAGCTCCTCATCTTCAGTTTTTTTTCTCAAATGCTCTTCTCATAAAAATGAATTTAATTTTGAATTATTTTAAATCGAAAAAGGAGAAAAATACTTTGGCACCCCTTAGAAATTGAATTTATTACCAATCCAACCAAGCAAAACGGGTAAAAAAATATCCGAATTCTATGTAATCGGGTCAAACCTTTAAATAATTAAATTGACAGATTTTTTTTCCTTCTTTCATCGTTGTCTTCCTCCTCTTCTTAGTTTTTTTTTTTTCTTCTTACCATTCTTTGTTGAACTTGGGATAACTACGTACAACTTCCTTATTTGCATAAGTTGGTAAAATTCGAGTCGATCTATTTCTCCAATTTGAGTAATTACTTTCATCATGTTTTTCTTCTATCCTTCTTCGTCAATCCTAATCTAACTTGGTCTAATTTGTTGTTTTATTTTCAATATTGGGTAGAATTAAATTGAAATTAGAGAAATTTTTGGAATCTGTTGTTAATCTAATTGATTTTGTTTGTAGGTTTATGCAAAGGAGTAATGGCTCGAACAAAGAACCCAACTCTATCGAATCCTACAGAACAAGATAAAATCCTTGAAGCATCAGAGAGGCACCACCCAAGTGTATTTTGATTCAACAAATTCAATCTCTCGCGGAGATTCAACGGTATAATCTATAAACTTTGGACAACTAGTAGAACTTGGTATAACTATGTTTCTTTTGTAACTTAGAAATTTCTGATACTAAAAGGTAAAACTAAGTATAACTTGGTTAGATGCTCCAGGTATATCTACACACTTTGCGTCTTTGACCAAGAAAAAGCTGACAAGGTTGAAGTAGTCTCTTATTTCAAAACTGGTCGTGTTTTGTGATATTAGACAACAAGCATAAATCTAATCTCATTTTTATGTGGTTGAGATTTAGATGTTTATCTTGTACACAAGTGTGAGACTTACTACATGGACTGTTCTTCTAGATGATATAGATCAAGTTTGATAAAGCTCTAAAAGAGTGTATATCAACCGTTCATAAATTTGCAGTCGCTTGGCTCCACTATCTCTAAGCTAATGTGTTGGGAGGAGTCGAGTTGATTCTCGTTGATATTTGTATGTCAAATTCAGATGTTCAAGGAAGTGGAGAAGAAAAACATGAAGAGAGGATGTACAATAGGCGGAGAACCCGAAATGGGAGAAAATAAAAAGAACGAGAAGGAGAAAAGTTCCAGTAAAGACTTGTGACGATGTAGAAAAACCAAGTGAAGGAGGCAGTAAAAGGGTGAAGCGTACAAGCAAAAATGCAAAGAAGGGGTCTATTGTTGTGTTTATGAGTCCTATTGTAACAAAGCATAAGAAGATTTAAGTACTTTATGAATCAGTTTATGAGAACTCCATGTGTTGTTTTTGTTTTTGTCAAACATGATTTGGTTGTTTTTTAATTTTTGGTATAACTGCGCAGTTTATTAAACTTAGTACAACTTGGTTAGTATGGTTATTTGAAATATTTGTTTAACTAGGTACAACTTGGTACGTAGTTGTACTATCCAGATTTTTGTTCTTTCTCGTCTTCTTTTTCTTTAATAAGTAGAGAATAAAAAATTTAAAAAATTTCAAAATTTTAAAATCTTAAAAAAAACGTGGGTCAAACTGCACGTGGGTCAAACTGCACGTGGGTCTAACTGCGCCGTCATAAACTGCAAGTGGGAGCCGCAAAACAAGTACATATGCCAGGTGGCACACAAAAATGAACACAGTTGTTCCTAGTTTTCAAGTTGTACTCGCATATACACAGTTGTACTTTTTGTGATTTTTTGTATAATTAGTTGTACTTGGATTAAAACTAATTTTTTTTAGTTGGACCCATGATTTTAGTTATTTGAGGTGCATTCCATATGTTTTCATGCAAAAATATTTGTCAAAACATTATTATTGTGTGTTTTGCAATGTAGTGGGGATAACAATAAGAAAGTCATCTTAAAAGTATAAGGTCTTTCTTGTACAAAAATGAGTTTAATGGAAACTATCCTATAAATTATGTTTAACTAATATTGTTTAAGAAGATTTGTTAAATTATTTGTGAATTTCTAAACTGCATATGAAGATTTTATAAATTGTCTAATAAAATTCAATTTATTAAGTGTATGAAGATTTGTTAAATTGGTCGTAGTTGTACCATTACGATTATCAGTTTTACTAAGTTGTACAAAACGAATTAGATCAAAGAAATACGTAATTGTACCATTACGAAACCAAGTTTTATAAAAACAGATAGTACAAAAAAAAGATAAATACAAACACAAATACATTAATCTTGACATTGATCTTGGCTATATTTCTTGCGGTGTAAGTCTAGTTTCTTGAATTCTTCTCTTTCTTGCGGTGTAATTCTAGTTTCTTGAATTCTTCTCTTTCTTGCGGTGTAATTCAGAGGTTATACATACAATTCTTGGATTTCATGTGGAATAATCAACTCATACAGCTATATCACTTCGAATAACTTTTATTGCTCAAGTAACCGCGAATAAGTAATCTCCTCCATTGATGATGTCCTAAATGATAGACCGTACAAGCCAGGTACCCTTGGATTCCATTGATATGCATCTCCGGTTTCTGAATAATATCCATCATAATCAAAATGTATGTTAATTGGAAGGTTGCTCATTCTCCTGGAAAAAAAAATACATTAAAAGTTATACCAATATTACCAGTTATACCACTTCTAACAGTTACCTCAGAAATACCAGATATACTACTTCTAATAGTTATACCACGTTTCTCAGTTATACCCAGGTTTTCTCAAAAATACCAGATATACTACTTCAAATAGTTATACCACGTGTCTTAGTTATACCCAGATTTTCTCAAAAAATACCAGAGATACTACTTCAAACAGTTATACCACGTTTTTAAGTTATACCCAGGTTTACATGTTCTACTCTATTTGCAAATCGATTCTCGGACCAAAAACACTAATCTACCTACTGTTAACAACGAATCAACCACTACAGTCCATTAAAGTGTCTTAATCAACCCAGAATACATGGTTACCAACACAATGTCCATTAATTACCAACACCAATTGAAAACCCTATCAAATCTAATAGAAATCTCCAAATTTCAAACAGTTATACCAAAATAAACTAAAGACTCGATGTTAGAAAGAAGTGGAAGAAGAGAATAGTAATTGACCTAGAGATTAAAGCTTCACTTTCAATGGTGGAAGAACGACGACGACGGCGTGGTGGTGATTTTGAGTTTTGGATTGGATTTGTCCCGATGAATACATGAGCTCGTTTGTGATTGGTCTGAAATCTCTTAGTTTTGATTGGTTAAAAATCTCTCTGTTTTGATTGGTCAAAAATTTCTCTCTTTTGATTGGTCCGTTTAGTAAGGGCAAACATGGGTTTTAAACTTTCATTAAGAGTGTAAGAGTATGACAGAATTTTGGAGAGTAGATAGATCATTAAGTCATGCTTGAGGAGCTCTAGAGATTAGTCTCCAAATTAAACTAAGGGGAGATTCAGTTTCACATGGGGTCAGTCAATAAAGACCTTCTCTTTTCTCTCGGCTCCACCAAATTATAGTACACTCTATTAATGGTAATTATTAAATTTAAATATCGAATCTTAAAATTTTAAGTATTACATTATTTAATTAATTACAATATTATTTTAGTGGGTTTCTTTGTACTTTATAGTTTATACAGTCAAATTAAAAAATAGTAAAAAAAACAAAAAAAAAAAAAAACAAAACAAAAATGAAAAGATCCAAAATTCTAATTTTCACATCGATTTGTAAATACAGTATCAAATCATTAACCACTCTATACTTTATCAAAAACATTAATAAGAAAGGAAAGGGACTGGTTAATGATTTTTTTTCAAATACATAATATTCATGGTTTATATTAATTAATATATATATTTTCAAGATCCGTATGTAAGGAAACAACAATACATCAATTGCTACTTTCCATATGTAGTTTGAGTCTTTACTCTTGACATTTGATAAATTAAAAGTAATAGGATTACTTTAGATTTCAACAACCATTAATCTCGGCGAATATTATGAAACTAATATGACCACCGACAAAAAAATTCAACTTTTATTATTTATGATTTTATGCTTTCAGTTTTAAATTAAGTTTATTGTTTTGGAACCTAAATCTATATATATAATAGGAGAGTCTTCTCTCCATCTAATGTGTCCACCTAAGCATCCACCTAAGCAACACTATTTATTTAACATTAAATAAATTCAAAACATTCATTTAGTGTATATTTATGTTATTTATAATAAATAAAATATTTAAATAAATAAAAAACGAATTATGTAAATAAATGAGATGTAAATAAATTCAAAACATTCATTTAGTGCATATTTATTTTATTTATAATTAATAAAATATTCAAATAAATAAAAAACAAATTATATTAATAAATAAATAAGATGTTAAAATAATAAAAATAATACTATGAAAATTTTATTAGTAGTAATAATATAATTCAAATTTTAATATACAAAAATTTAAAATGATTATACTTCAAATTTTTAAATGTGTTAATGAATTTTAAAAGGAAAGTAAAATTTAAATGCATGGTAGAATAAAACTAAATTTATGTTATTATATATGCAAAATTTTAAACAAAAAAAACAAAACTTAAAGTGAAACATTAGTTTCTAAGAACAATATACTACATATTTTTTTAATTAAATTTTTACTTAAAGAAAAATACAAGATTACTAAACTCAACTTAAATTTATAATTTAAAATGAAGATATTGTAAGAGTCGCACTTTATCTTATGAAATTTTATGAAAGAAAATTTTAAAATCTTAAAATATTATCATCTATCTTTTAAGAAAAATAATCAATGATCACATTATTCATGAGTTTTACAAAATATACAAAATGATATGTAAGCCGTTAAAAAAGTGATATGTAATATGTGTAGAATATTCTCAAATGGAACTACAACTTTATAACATGATCAAAAAGAAAAACAAGTTTGATATTTCATCAACGGAATCACATGCGTTTAACCCAAAAATTTGAGTATTGAAAGATAGTAATTAAGGAGAAAATAATTATGACATGTCTTGAAAATCAATTCAAAGTCCAATATATATTATATGTGAGTCAATAGAAGGTGAAAAGAAAGTAGGTGTCGAGAGGCAACGAGTGCATCATAGAATATGACAAAAGAATTGGTAGTTAAAGTGTGAAAATAATTTTCTAAAACTTATAAAGATAATGCAATGACTAAGATCAAATATTTGAGATCTCATTCATTGTATGAAACGAATGAGTTCTTTAAAAAATACAAGACATACATTATTAAACAGATTATTAGATTCAAAATTAGGCTTAACCGTTTGGCCATGTAATAATCGAAAGTGAGATAAGATAGGCACATTGATGACTTAGTCGAGAATTATATTTTGGCACGATGGACTTGCTTCTATAGCTAAAACAAGCTCGCTAAAGTTGTTCTAGCAACATGGTATTATAGATTTACTTTTTCACTAAATAATGTTCATGAAACTCGGTATATTCACATTTTATATGGAATAATTTTATGTTTGTATCAACATTTAGTCATAAATAATATATACAATTAGGTCAACAATCGATAATTAACATTAAAACTTTTAAAGAAATGTTTTCATAAAATATGAATAAGATAAAACTTCAATTCAAAAAAAAAAAGAATAAGAAAGAAACTCTTTTAGAGATAAAGAATCATGAGATGGTCGTCGATACCGTTTATTCTTCCCGCAAATTTCTTAAGTGACCAACGTTGTGTTGGCCCAGTGGTAAATCTCCCAGGTGGAGGTACTGGGTTCGACGCCCGTTGGGAGGGATCTCTTCTCCAAAGGAGATGAATTTAACCTGGTGTGGGTCCCGCCTCTGGGAGATGTAGGGCTTTCGGGCTTGAACTTCAAGATATTAAAAAAAAAAAAAAAAAAAAATTCTTAAGTGATTTTTGTTAGCAGGTGATATATATCAAACTATTTATTTGTCAAGGAAACATTTTCGTCGACAATATATATGTTGTATATCGCTTTGTAAAATAAGTTTAATGTTTATATAGATTTATCTTTTAAAATTTGAATTATTATATTTATACTCAAATATTTATCTTTTAAATTATACTGATATACTCAAAATTTTATATTAATAGAAGAGAAATTAAATTAAAATCCCGCGCAACGCGCGGGTACAAAATCTAGTTTTATTTTAATTGGGTGGTTCGATTTTTATCTATAATGGGCTAAGTATTTAAAAGCCCAAACGTATTTTTTGTAACTATGGATCGAACACTTTAACCAAATTAAACAGAACAGGTTTCAGATAAACGTACTTCGAAACAAAACTAGAGACTTTTCACCTTTCCACTGACAGAGACTTGAAAAAGTTTGAAACCCTAACTGGAGTGGAGATAAAGTAGATACGGTCGAAAAATTCCATGACGATTTAACTATCTAAATCTCGATCTCGCTCCGTTTTGATCTAATCAGGTACAAATTCTGTCATTTGATTTCTTTCATGTTGGAAGATTTACTCGATTCTTCATTTCAATTCTGTTTGCTAGACAGATAACATGCAAGAAGGCAGAGAGAGACGAGTTCGTTCAAAGCGATCAGGTGATAGAGTAAAGAAAGTAGATCGGCTGAGGAACTTACCAGATTGCTTGCTTTTTAAGATTCTCTTGAATCTTCCTACGAAGGATGTGGTTAGGTGTAGTGTACTATCCCGCCGATGGAGAAATGTCTGGAGATATGTACCTGGATTGAACTTGAAATGTGGTGATTTCATGGTGGCTAACTGTGATGATTCCTCGGATTTCAACTCTTTGTTGGGTTTCGTTTATAGGTTTCTAGGTTTTAACAGTGAGTCTTGCTTACAAAAGTTTAGGTTAACGGTTAATTGGTGTGACGATGCTCCGCTTGATACTGCTCATTTCACCCAGTGGTTCAAAGCTGTTGTTGAGCGGAAAGTTCAACATATCCATGTCCGGGACAGTACTTGGGGGTTGGATAGAGTGATGATACCCCCCATAGTTTACACGTGTGAGAGCTTGATATCCTTAAACCTCTATGACGGATACTTGCCTAATCCAGAGTTTGTGTCTTTACCTTCTCTCAAAGTTATCGTTCTAGATAAAGTTGAGTTGGAGAGCAGTTTGGCTATCGAAATGCTAATCTCAGGCTGCCCTGTTCTCGAAAGCTTAACTGTAAAAATGATTAACACTTCCTACGGTTTAGAAAGTTTTCAAGTGTGTTCTCAGTCTCTATTGAGGTTTACTCATGAATCATACATGGGTTTAGTTGATCGTTCTAGGTTTGCCTTTCTAGCAGTTTTCATTGATGCTCCTAGGCTTGAGTATCTAAGGCTCCGTGATAAGCGAACTGCAAATTACACAATAAAAAATCCTGGTTCCCTTGTTGAGGTGGATATCGATGTTGTGTTTAACTTGTGGTTCAAAAGGAAGTTTGATCCAAATGATCTACCAAAGAGACAGATGATTCGTAATTTTCTTATCGGGATATCTTGTGTTAAAGATATGATCATCTCTTCGAGTACTCTTGAGGTAACCTTTATTGAATATACTATTTGAATGCTTAACTTTATCCTATAAGTTTCTTATTAATATCGTTTTTTTCGTCGAGCAGATTATATATGATTACTCAAGATGTGAACAACTACCCTTATTCCGTAATATATCTTTCTTGCGTGTTGAATTCACCAACTACAGGTGGGAAATGTTGCCAATCTTTCTTGAGAGCTGTCCGAATCTAAAATCTCTTGTCTTGGTTAGGATTTTTACTGAATAATAAACTCTCTTCCTTACAATGAATACAAATGGTAAAAGTAAGAAGACATATTCAACTTGTTTCGTCATACTTGCAGGGATTTAGATTACGTCCACGGGAGGACGAAGCTAGTATTTTACCTGGACCACGGCGGTTTCTAACATCTCTCGAGTATGTTAAGATTGTAAAGCCGATGCCAGCGGAAGCGAGCGAGATAAAACTGAAACTAGTGAGTTACTTTCTAGAGAACTCAACAATCCTCAAGAAACTCACACTATGCTTAGGTAACTTTGGAGAGAAAGAAGAATCTGTCATCGTCAAGAAACTCCTTACCATTCCAAGACTCTCTACCTCATGCCAAGTTTTCATTATCTGAATCTGATCCTCAGTCTTTATTTTAGTGATGAACGTACAAGGTTGTCTTTTGAGTACTAAGTTAACGTGAACTTTGTTTTTTTCTTCATTTTATCTATCGTTAACTTGTAAGAGAATCATATGTTTGATTCTTTGGTATTTTGTCAAATATGACTAGTAATGCTTTCTCGCCAAAATCCTCATTGAATCATTTTTTTTTTTTTTTTGATAACCCAGTATCCAGACCACACAGTGATCTGACTAGCCCACTGGGCCTAAGCTTATTTTTTTGATAACCCAGTATCCAATATTTCTTCATTTTTTTTTGATAACCCAGTATCCATGAATCATTTATTTACATTATAAACAAATTTATCCTAGTTAAATTATATAAAAATTTGATAGCTTATTTACTTTTTTCATTAAATTGACAAACATTATCTATTTTATAGTGAAACCCTTATAATAATAATGTCAATATAGCAATTGATTGAAAAACTAATTTAGAATCGAAAAATGTACTAATATATATATTTATACTAATTTTACACTCAGAAAAAGAGGATAGGAGAAGTAAATTAAATTGATGATATTTAAAGCATTTTTGTAAGGAAAAATCCTTAGACTCTTTTACTATATAGGAGTTTTACAAGTGGATAGAATAATACAATTTACAATAAAACATAAAATGTGGATAACTGACTCAAAAGAGTTCACTCTATTCTATTAAGCTTTACTAGCTCTATTAACTTCTACTAGCAAAAGATTGTCTCTATCAAAATGGTTGTGGTCTTCCTAATACTCATGTGTTTATTTGTCGGATATCATGACAATTGTCAGGTATCGAAACAAAAAATATTCGTCAGAATTACACTAAAAAAATTCGTAACAATGTTTGTTGAATTCCATAAATAATACTTAAAAGGTTCAATTTTGTCTAGGTTTCAATTATAGATTTATTTTTTGTGACATAGTGCGTTGAAATTTATCATTTTACTAGGGCCATTTGCAGTTTTTAGGTATTTTTGGGTTTAGGCCATGAATGGATGCTGTTTTTGATTTTGGTTTCTAGATTTTAGATTTTAGTTTTAGATTTTGTAATTAGATTTTTGTTTTAGAAACCCCCAAAAAATGGTTTTTGGTTTTTGAGAAAAATAACGTAGATGGAGTAAAAACTAGATTCCCTAAATTATAGGAGAACTAAAAATCTAAAATCTTGAATGGAAGATCACAACAAAAAAGTTTTCATAAATTGTAGAAAAACCAAATTTTGAAAAACTTGATTGGTGTGAAATCAGTTTTTGAAAAACAAAAACTAAAAACTCTTTCAAAAACTACAAAACATTCAAGGCCTTAATTTGCAGGTTTAGGTATTATTAGTATTAAAACTGAAAAATAAAGTTATTCATTTATTTACGGCTAAGGATCTCTCTCCCACCATCACCAATCACCATCTCTCGTTCCAGTTTCTGATTAGATTCAACAATGAACGGCGCATTAGGTAACTCCTCCGCCTCCGTGAGCGGCGGAGAAGGAGCCGGAGGACCAGCTCCTTTCTTGGTAAAGACCTACGAGATGGTCGACGATTCATCAACGGACCAGATTGTATCGTGGAGCGCTAACAACAACAGCTTCATCGTTTGGAATCATGCGGAATTTTCACGCCTTCTTCTTCCAACCTACTTCAAGCACAATAACTTCTCTTCCTTCATTCGTCAGCTCAATACCTATGTGAGTCTCTTTCTCTCAATTTCGATTTTACCAAACTCTTCTCTGTTCCAAGTTTTGAATTGACCTGATTTTGACCTAATTTTGACCTAATTTGGGAATATTAGAACGCATCTAAGCCTTTGTGTGATTGATAGACGGAATTATGGAAATTGGTTTATGGATTGTGGAGTTATTCAACAAGAAGATGAAATGTAGCTAAAATTGTAGTCTTTGTATGGATGTGTAAGAGCATCTAAGCCTCTGTGTGATTATAGACTGAATTGTGGAAATGGGGATTTTATCTCCTCCAATGTTATCAGTTGATTGGAACTTATGGACTATGTGTTGGTTTTCGTCGTTGTTGTCTGCTTTAGGTTTCTATTAACGGTGTGAATGTTCTTGTGATTTTGGTTATAGGGGTTCAGAAAGATTGATCCAGAGAGGTGGGAATTTTTGAATGATGATTTTATTAAGGATCAGAAGCATCTTCTCAAGAATATACATAGAAGGAAACCTATACACAGCCACAGTCATCCACCTGCTTCGTCGACAGATCAAGAAAGAGCAGTGTTGCAAGAGCAAATGGACAAGCTTTCACGTGAAAAAGCTGCAATTGAAGCTAAGCTTTTAAAGTTCAAACAACAGAAGGCTGTAGCAAAGCATCAGTTTGAGGAAATGACTGAGCATGTTGATGATATGGAGAAGAGGCAGAAGAAGCTGCTGAATTTCTTGGAAACGGCAATTCGGAATCCTACTTTTGTTAAGAATTTTGGCCGTAAAGTCGAGCAATTGGATATTTCAGCTTACAATAAAAAGCGAAGGCTCCCTGAAGTTGAGCAATCAAAGCCACCTTCGGAAGATTCTCATCTGGATAATAGCAGTGGTAGCTCGAGACGCGAGTCTGGAAACATTTTCCATCAAAATTTCTCTAATAAATTGCGACTAGAGCTTTCTCCAGCTGTTTCAGATATGAACATGGTTTCACACAGTATACAAAGTTCCAATGAAGAAGGTGGGAGTCCCAAAGGGATACTGTCAGGAGGTGATCCAAAAACTACACTAACAAGAAGAGAAGGCCTACCATTTGCACCTGAAGCACTAGAGCTTGCGGATACCGGGACATGCCCGAGGAGATTACTGTTAAACGACAGTACAAGAGTGGAGACCTTGCAGCAGAGGCTAACTTCTTCAGAGGAGACTGATGGTAGCTTTTCATGTCATTTAAATCTAACCCTGGCTTCTGCTCCATTACCGGAGAAGACCGCTTCACAGTTAGCTAAGACGACTCTTAAAAGTCAGGAGATAGGAAGATGTACCGAGTTAAACTTCAACTCAATAGAAACAAGTGCAAGTGAGAAAAATCGGGGTAGACAAGAGGTTGCAGTTGTAGGTAGCCAAGCAAATGCAGCTCCTCCAGCAAGAGTGAATGATGTATTCTGGGAACAGTTCCTAACAGAAAGGCCGGGGTCTTCAGATAATGAGGAGGCAAGTTCGACTTATAGAGGTAACCCAGACGAAGAGCAAGAGGAGACAAGAAACGGGAATATGATGTCACGTAATACAAAGAATATCGAGCAGCTGACCTTATAAACTATTTGGACGGTAATATATCCTTAACCTACTCATTAATTATGATTCCTTTACGATTTTGTGATCGACATGTTAGCTTTCTCGATATATGCATGATTTTTGGCAATAATTAGCTAGACATTGTCAACGAATTCTTGTTAAATGAACTTGCATATGCAGCATCTTTTGAACTTTCTTTTGCTGCTTAAAATCATTCTGCATTGATTAGGAATTTGTAACACATTAGTAAAAACCCTAGCAAGTTGTCCTCATTTACCCAATTTATGCCAAATTTATGATGCAGAAAGAGTTTATGCATTTGTATTTTCAGGTTACATCAACAAGAGAATATGGTCTGTGGTTTTGGTAAGAACTATGGCTGAGTAAGTAATGAAACATTGGACTGAAAAAGCGCAAGTAGCTTTGTTGTAAACAACACTTGCGTCTCTTTCTACACAAGTAATTTGACTATATTTAAGTGCATAGAGTTTAAAATGAATAAGCATTTTTTTCGTGTCTTAAATGTAAACCATATGTAGTCTTCCCCAAATCTTAGTACCGACATTGGTAACATCCGCCGAAATGTGTTTCTAATCTTGTCTGACACAGAAAGTATTATGAACATTATTATTATGTACATTCAATTGGGTGATTATGGTATATGCTCGCCAGCCCTATGCCTATGTGATGAAAAAATAAACCATCGTCAATGATCTATATAAAATTTTGTATATTATAACCAAACAAAAACTACGATGTTACTTGATATTATATATAACCAAAATAAAGAGTTAAAGACTCAAAATTCGGAGATTAGGTTAGGTACTCAGATTAAAAGGATGATACATTGGTTTCGATGTCCGGCTTTCATTCCGGGATGAGGTCTGGCTTCATTGTTTTACTTTGCTGATCGCTGTCCGGTACAGCTGGCTTATATCACGGCTTTTTCCGGTGCTGTGTTTTCTTTTGGTTTGAATAATCTCCATGTTCTAAAGAGATGGTGTTGTCGATTTTGATGGCTTTCTTCTCGTTTTGATGCGGATTCTCTATTAGCTATTAATCAATTATAGAGAGTAGTGATTCATGTCTTTTTGGATTGAATTATGCTTGAAAATTACGTGTTTTTCAGAAAATAATATGCTTTTACCTTTAACTCTTTTTAATCAACTTTAGGTTTCTTTATATATTGGCACGATTTTGATAATATATGAATCGTTTTTCATTTATTTGCCAACTTCTTGTAATATATCAAAAAGTTCTTTTAGACTGTTTAATACACTAAATTTACATTTCTCTCATCTTTAATACAATGACGACAATTTTAGTATCAATCGAGATTTTCTCAGTTAGAAAAATTTACGTCTTACCGCGAGTTATATAAATGGATATAATTGGGCGGGTAATGATGGTTCAGACTTCATACCCGTGGACTTCATTTAAAAAAAAAAAATGCTACTAAAACGGTATCGTTTTCATATTTATTTCGAACGGCGTCGTATTTGCTTCTCACTCCCAATTCGATTCTCAGACACTGAACCCTAAAGCATTTTCTCAAAATCGTTTATGGGGTTTTCCGAAGTCGGCATCTGTTTCTGACTCCGCCGGGTTAGTGCTTCTTTCTACCTGTTGAACTTACCCTGAACCTGAGGAATTCTCTTTTGATTACTCCGCTGTTTTTCTCGATTTCAGAAGTTTTTTCCTGTTTCATTTTTCTGGGTTTATGACCATGTCCTCTCTCCCTCTCTCCTTCAGTTTTTCTATTAAAGTCGGGGGTTTTTGCTCGATCTTGTGTCTTTTTCTGAAACCCATTTGGGGATTCTGAGATTTTCAGTTGAATCGAGAAATTTGATCTTCAATTTCCTGTAATTTGGTGTAAAGATCCCATTTTTAATGCCTAGTGCTTGCTTTGTCCCGTGGTTTACCCAAATACTTGAAATTATATAAACCCTTTTGGGGACTTCAAGTTTTCTGTTGAAATTTTATATGAGTGTCTCATTGATTACATTGCTACTTGAAGTGATTGAATTGATCTTTGTCTTATCTCTGATTGTGTAAAGTTTATCTTATCTTCTGATTGTTTTTCTTGCTTTATAATTGAACATGGAATTTATGCTCTTTTTGTGAAATTCGTCTTATTGATTCATCTGAGTGTGCGAGAGGGAGCTAGTTTATGATCAATATGCTTCAGATTTATAATTCTTGTACAGAGGAGTCCAATGTGAAACCACTTTGACATATGTGCAGGACACAGCAGTTCTTCAGTATCTGGGCATTAAGTTTGTTCTAGTTCCTGGAACTCAACTGCAAATCGACCAGCTTCTAGAGGTCAGAGGTAAAATCCCTGAGGCCGAGTCTCTCTGATTTTTGAACTTTTTTAGAGTACTTGAGCTGTTTATAGCTTTCTACAGTGAATGTTGTTTGTGAAAGTTTTGGTGTTTGAGCTTAGATAAATTTTGAGTTTTAATTGTTGGCACTTTGCATATATGATTACTCCTGAGTTCGTGGATTGGTTGTAAGCTCTGTCATTATTATACTTTGATCATATGATTCATCTGATTAGTGGACTGTTTTTATAATCATATGAATCATCTGTTGAAAAATGAAGATGGTTGAAAAAAGTGAGGAAATTTATGCGATTCTTGAGTTTTTTTTATGCCAATTACTCTTAAAAGTTTGTTGATTGTTGTTGGAATTGATGTGAATTATGTGTGTTTTGGGAATTTTTTGCTAGAATTGTGAACAAATATATCGAACTTCGTTGCAATGAAAATCTCTGTTTGGGCATGTCTCGTTGTAGTATAGAGTTCCCACTTCCCAGGATTCTGACATAATGTTTTCAACTCTGACATTTCTTAATTTGTGTAATTTAACGGTGGTTTGACTACATATGAATGCAGATGGCTAGATGGGATCAGATTTTCTCCTTACCTGTGCAAAATCCTACTCTGCCAGAATTTTCTTCTGCCGATCTTGTTTGGTCAAAGGTTGAAGGTTACCGGGACAATATTGATAGGTTAGCCCTCATCCCGTATACTAGGGTGGATGATTTTGTAAGAGGTGAATCCTCGAATAAAGATTGTCCTACAAGTTTCCATGTCGAAGCTAGACGACGGAAAGCCAAAGGGAAAAAATATAAGCCAAAGGTGGATGGCATCCTGGAGTATATTCTGTAAGTTACACATTCGTTTTGTATTGGTCACAACAAGCTAGATCGTTTATCTGGTTATTATCGTCTGCTGGAAGTTTATCGGGTCTAATTTCACATCGTCGTTACTTTGTTAATGATACTTTATGTTTTATTTTCTGCATACTTTGTGGTCATCTTTTCCTACTGAAGTGGCAGTGAATTTATATTTTGTTTGCTTCATGTATGTTTCTGTGTTCTTTTCAATTGTCTCTTTTTCTTCTGCTTTATGTTTCCCATGCTATCTGTATCCATTTTTCTTGTTGCAGCATATCTGGATACTCTAAATACTATGATCCCATATTGTTTTCATTGTAGGCAGTACTTGGCTCTCATTCTTTCTGAATATAAGACTGTCCATACTACATAAAGTTGGCTATCTATTTGGTTGTTCTCCGCATGCATCTCTTTTTGTTAGTCAGTATGGAACAAAATCGTTGGTTATAAATTAGTGTTTTTGTGTGAGTAGGTATTGGTGTTCCTTTGGCCCGGATGACAATAGGAAAGGCGGAGCTGTACGACCAAGTAGGAGCACATATGTTCCGAAAAAGAACAATGCAGGCCGACCCAACTCTAAGAGAGGTTGTAGGTGTCATTTCATTGTGAAACGCTTAATCGCAGAACCAACTGTGGCTTTAGTAATTTATAACAATGACAAGCATGTAGATGAAAAAGGGTTGCCCTGCCACGGTCCACAAGACAAAAAGGCGGCTGGAACAAGAGCCATGTTTGCTCCATATATATCAGAAGACCTTAGGCTACGTGTATCATCTTTGCTCTATGTGGGTGTCTCTGTGGAGACCATAATGCAAAGGCATAATGAATCAGTGGAAAAACAAGGTGGTCCAAGTAACCGAGATGATTTGTTAACTCATAGATATGTACGAAGACTTGAGAGGAGTATTCGACGTTCAACATATGAGCTCAATGAAGATGATGATGTCAGCATCAGCATGTGGGTTGAAAGTCACCAAAGTCATGTGTTTTTCTTCGATGGGTTCTCTGATACAGACCCTTTTTCCTTGGGTATCCAAACTGAGTGGCAGTTGCAACAAATGATTAGATTTGGAAACTGTAGACTTTTGGCTTCAGACTCAAGGTTTGGGACAAATACACTCAAGGTCAGTTTCTTACAGTTTGCATCAGTCGCCAAATTTGGTTTTTTATTATCAGGATGATTCTCAGGTCTATGTGTTGCGTTTATTTTCAGTATCCTATCCATAGTCTTGTTGTATTCGACTCTGAGAATAAGGCTATTCCAGTTGCTTGGATAATTGCACCGCGGTTTTCCAGTGGAGATGCATATAGATGGATGAGAGCTCTTTGTAACCGAGTCCATGCCAAGGATCCCTCCTGGAAGGTGGCTGGGTTCATAGTTGATGATCCTTTTGCTGACATAATAACGATCAGGTTCGTTGCTTCAAAGGCCACTTTTTTATTATAGAATTAGAACATATTTCACATGTTCCTTCCTTCAGGAAAATTGGCAGAGTTTACCACAGCAAAGTGTTTCGCTTTGAATGCAATTAACTTAAGTACATAACCAAATATCAACATATTGAACGAAGCTGACTTTGGTAATTTCGAATTTTCGATAGTGGAGCTCTATGTAGCACTATTTGGACAAATTGACTTGGATGTTACAACCATAGATCTTGAATCCTTGGTGGAACTGGCAACTGGCTAGGTGAAGAAGTCGTAGTTAGATTATAGTGGTCATCAACAGATACTGAACCATATTGTTCTCTTTTGTTAATAACAAATTTGGTGTAAGCATATTTCAAGGAACCAAATTGTCAACCCTCAATATTATATTTATTGAATGCTATTGCTTGCGATGTTCTCAGGGATGTATTTCAGTGTCCAGTCTTGTTTTCCTTTTGGCGTGTTCGCCATGCATGGCATAAGAACATAATCAAGAGATGTCCAGAAACAGAGACACGCGTTATGATTTCAAGACATCTTGGGCAGGCTGTAGATAAAATCTGTAGAAGGCAAGGAACAGCCACATTGTTTGACAGTTTTGCGGAGGATTTTGTTGATAGTCCAGAATTTGTGGAGTACTTCAGATCTGTTTGGTCTCCCAGAATAGGTAATTTTCCGATTCTCTCTTTTCTTTTCTGTTTACAATCTACATGCATGATCTTCTACAATTAATTGATAGGTCATAAGGCTTGTAGACCTTAAGTATCAAGTTTTAAGTTGTAATTCTACTTTGGTACTCTGCCCCTCTATCTGAACTTATTGCGGATATTTGACACTAGTCCTCTCGAGAATGACTTTTTCCCTCCAATTTATTGTAGGAGCCTGGACAAGTGCGTTACAATCTCTTCCCTTGGCAAGCCAAGAGACTTGTGCAGCGATGGAGCTTTATCACTATCAGCTGAAGTGCAGGCTTTTGAATGAGAGGGACTCTGAAGCTTATCAACGTGCTGATTGGTTGGTCGATAAGTTAGGGACAAAAGTACATTCTTACTTCTGGCTTGATGAATATTCTGGAAAAGATAACTTTGCCAGGTACTGGAAAGAGGAATGGGTGAGCGGGTTGACTTCCTTCCGCAAAGCATTGAGTATACCAGATTCTGATGTTGTTATCTCTGGTATATCTGCAAAAATAACAGATGAGTGTGATGGCAACGAAATTCATGTTGTGTGGAATCCAGGTTCACAGTTTGGGGTTTGCAGTTGCAGCTGGGCAGAAAAAGGATACTTATGTAAGCACATGATCAAACTTACACAACTCTGTCTAGGAAACCGAGCTGAAAGGCAATCCGCGAGCCTTCTACAGTATTATCAGACCTTGATTGATCTGCTACACTGCCCACCTCACGATTCGTTGTTTCGTGATTATGCAATCTCTTTAGCCGTCTCTGTGGAAAAGCAAATTAACGCACCCGGCAATCTGCAAAAGAGTGATGCTAACGAAGGTAACTTGCAGAAAGAAATTGCTTTCAGTGAACCATCTAATGGAAAATCTCTTGATGAATCTGACTTGCTAGATAAACATGAGGGTCATGGCGAAGTTGCTACTAATTTAGATGGTGCTTTGAGTAAAATGCCAATGAGTTGTCTGCGGGTCTGCTCAGAAAATTTAGAAGACATTATTTTGGGTTCTGAAATGGAAATCGAACCTTCGCCATGTTCAACCAAAGCTGCTGCAGAAGATGTTACCTCTACTGTGCAGAATGGTACAGACAGCGTGAACGAGAATTGTGAAAGAGGTGCGAAAAGGTTGAAAATTTGGGCACCCGAGCAAGGGAGTGTATGAGATACTAACTGAGCCGAGAACCTAGCGAGTATTTCCAAGATTTGAATGAGCAAAATCTAATGTTGAGCAGACACAAACTGAGAAGCAACATCTCTCGGGTCTCAGGAAACTTGATTCCAGTGAGCATTCCACTTCATAACTATGTTGACGAGGCTCCTACAAAGAGAAAATTGAACGAAACCATTTTGGTGACATCGTGTCTTCCCTACAACGTGAATGAGACATCCAAGGACACTTGCTTTGGTCTGAAAGCAACAAAGCTCTCAAGTAATCCGGTGAGTGTCTTGTACTCACCGTTCCATGGATTTCCTAAACTATAGACTTCTTAAATAGATCCATGAAAGCCACTAATGAGAGTGTCTCTGTCGACTTTTCTATGCCGGAGATGGAACTACCAAATTGTAAATTGGATAGTTGAGTTATTAGTATAACTCTCAAATTACCTTGTTTCTCAAATTTTCGTTGTGGAAATTGTGGAATAAACTGAATACTAGTCTTTTTAATGTTTATAAGCTACATAGAAGACGATTTAAGAAAATTAACCATGTAGAAAACTGTCAATGTTAATGAGAGACTCCACTTTCCATAGACAATAATACTTTTATAACAAGTACTTTAGATCATTTATAATTGTTATAAGAGAATTTATAATCCATATATTTAAATAGATTTTAACTGTTATTCTGATAATAGAGAATACATATTTTTTTGTAACAACAAAAATACATATAAAATGATGAACTAATTAGTAATGAATACATTATTGTTATTCTTAGAAATGGAAGACTCTTGAGATTCGGCGACAGCAACATAGCAGCAACAACAGTTGAGGCCAACAAGACAAACCCCTCCTAAGTTGTTATTTCTAGGTTTGCAATAATCATTGCATGTATCTGTGTTTGTACATGCTATTCCTGAGAAACATTGCAAGTTTTTTCCTGTTTGTCCTGTTTGGTTCATAAACAAACACATGAACGAGATTATTAGTACAAAAATAATCAATTATTATTTGTTTTATAAATTAGTATAAGTACTGCACCTTTATGCTTCTAATTCCAGTTCAACTATTTTTATTTATATTTTTATATGTTAAGGGTACAATTTTAAAGTTAAAAAAAAAAAAAAACTAAACTGTCACCAATTAAACTATTTAAAATTTAGACCAAACAATTAAACATCTTTTTAATCAATTATAAAGTTAAACCAACACTCGAAATCGAAACACAAGACACAGGAGAAGAGTTTACAAACGAAACCAAATAACCCTCAAACAATAAGAAATCTATATAAAATAATGTCAAGTAAAATTTTGCTTCTTCAGTATGACACACTGAATTTCATGATAAATGAAATTATGTAATTTTACTATTTTCCTAGAATATCTTCGATCACACTAAAATAACTCTACTTATGAGAACCCTATTTAAATATTTTAAATAAAATAATTTAACGTTAATTAAGATTTACAGCAAAAGTATTAGTTTCCCTCTAATTTTATATAGTATGATATTTTATTATGTAAACATAATATCTTAACTTATCCAAATATAAACAAAACAAATTTTTGAGTTTTTTGCCCGTAGAAGAGTTTCACTTTGTTAGAATAAAATCTCAATTTGAATCTCTCACCATGATATTATCGAAAAATAAAGATAAATTTTTGCATTTAAGATAATTTAACCCCAAAAAATAAGCAATAGTTTATCCTTGAAAAAAAAAATGTATTACCTGAAATCATGGGTAGAACGATAAAAGCAAAGACCATCACCGATACAAGAGATGAAATATTCTTGAATCCCATTTCGCTAGAGGATGCAACAAGTGTTTGTTAGAATATGCTCAATTTAATCAGAAGATAAAATGAAAAAAGAAAAGAAATAAAGAACATTGAAAAGTAAGGTTCAAATCAACATTTGAAGAACTTATATCTAATCAGAACAATAGCAAGAATAGATATATAGATAAAAAAAACTAATATCTTACAAATATTTAAGTAATTTTGATCTTGAAATTTTATTTTTACACTGGTTGATAACAAATCGTTGTCTTCTCCTATATAAAATTGTGAATATGTCTTAGGAATTTATACATATTTAGAACCTAATTTAGGAAATTTACAAATTTGATTTTTAAAAATCAATATTCAAAACAATTGATATGTATACATTTGATTCATATATTTGTTACCAAATTAAAATACATAGTAATGTGCAATAATGATTTTTTCAAAGCTAGTAGATTTAAAGCTATTTTCTTAACATACATTTAAGTAAATAATATATTCTTAGCACATTTCTTACATTTTTATTTCTCATTTAGACAATATATATATATATATATATATATATATATATATATATAAATGTATATAATATTTATAACCTTTTTGGGCTTTGAGAAAGAAATAACAAAACAATTAACACCACCCATTCAAACATCTTCCCGATTCTTTTCTGTTTTTACGTTTTAGTTTGAATTGGTCATTCAGATCAAAGACTTGAAATAACTTTTTAATCATATTCATTGTATTCAAACAACTTTTTAATCATATTCATTGTATTCAAATAACTTATTTCTCAAGATTTCGTAGTGGCAATTGTGGAATAAATTGAATACTATAGTCATTTCAATGTTTATAAGCTAAAGCCTCACATAGAAGACGATTTAAGAAAATGAATCAACCATGTAGAAACTGCCAATGCTAATGAAGACTCCACTCCCCATAGACCATAATAGTTTTATAACAAGAACTAAAAAATTGTGAAATTAATCAAGTACTAAGGCAGGGTAAAGCAAAATGTATTGCGTAACAAATCAAGTAATGTAGATCATTTATAATTTTTATAAGAGAATATATAATCCATATAGCTAAATAGATTTCTAATTTTTATTCTGATAATAGAGAATACATATTTTAATTTTTTGCAACAACAAAAATTACATAAAAAATGATGAATTAATTTGTAATGAATACATTATTGGTATCCTTGGATATGGAAGACTTGTGAGATTCGACGATACTAACATAGCAGCAACAACAGTTGGCACGAATAAGACAAACGCCTCCTAAATTGTTATTTCTAGCTCTGCAAAAATTATTGCATGTCGCTGTATTTTTACATGGTATCATGCTCACAATAGATAAGTACCACAACCCCCAAGATTGTATCATGCTCACAATAGATAAGAGTTTGGATTTTTCTTTCTCACTTTTTCATTTCAGAACGAACTCGATATCCAAAACAGAAATAGGTAGAACAAAGAGCAGAGTATAAGTTACATGTGAGAACAAAGACTCTCTCACTATATATATATTTGTCATTTCATGAGAAGCTGGCATGATTCAAAGCTTACCACACTATTCAAATCCTTAACCATTTCAACTCTCTCTTCAGAAATGATAGGTTTTGAACAGAAAGTTGTTCTCTTCAAACGATTTGTGTTACTTAAGGTGTATTTTGCCACTTCGGTCTCATTTTCTCGTTTCCATTCGTAGTACAGTGACTACAGTCTGTGTGAAAATATTTACGAGTTGAATCTATGAAACTATATGTCATATATGTATATTCGGCTCTATCATGTGTTATGTATATAAGGTAACCTTTTTGATACAATGTTATAAAATTTAATTACCAAAAATAATTGGTTGTGGAAATGATATAATACATTTTTTACAATAAACTGATCATATAATAGACAAAACAATTCAATTCAAAAAAGTGTTAAAGAAGAAAAAAAAATAGTCAAACATAATCAACAAAAATACACTATAATGTTGTACGAAAGGTACATAATGAATTAGTCTTACTATTCAAGTAGTTAACATGTTGTTTGATCAAATGTGTAACACAGAGTTGTGTTTTCCTTATTTTAGTGTAGATGATTTCTGATATCAAGGAAAAGAAAGAGCAAATCGAAACTCTACAGAAAGAGGTCGATAGCTTAGGTTTCCAAATAGAAGACATACATGTGATGATGTCACTCGTAAATAAAGCACATAGCAGACTAGAAAAAGAGCTACCGTCTAGAGAGTAAAGCAAGACTCACTTGCAAAGAGATCGGAGCATCGAATCCGAAAGACTTGGCATTTCTCTTGTCATATCTAGAAAGTGTGTTGCTGTTGTTCCTCCAGAAATTTATGTTACTGCTGGTGTTCATGTTCTCTTTCGTTGGAAAAAATCCATCATAAACGCTTACAATAATGCAAAAAGATCACTGGAAAACCTAGGACCATGCACAACAAAATTGATATATGAACAACATGAGAGCTTGCATTGTTTCAGCTTACATGCTTGAAACAACAACCCAACATTTCACAGGTGATCGCGGCTCATCCTATAGAAGCCAAGCAGCTAGCCATTGGATTCTCTGATGGTTCTATCAAAGTGATGGAGCTATTGCTAATCATCCAAATATTTGGAGGCTTATTACAATAATGTATATAATGAAAAATTATTTCATTTTTAGTTGAAATGTTAGGTGGTTCCCGAAAAAATAGCGAAAAAACTTATCCCTAAAATGATCAGATTGGTAGTTAAAAAAAAGCCTGTAGAGAAGTAAGGTACAACTTTAGAACATCATCAGCAATAAGAATAGATTATATTATATAGATAAAAATAATCTTACAAATATTTAAGTATTTTCGATCTTGAAATTTTATTTACACACTGTCTGATAACAAATCTTTGGGCTCTGAATTGTTAGTTTGTTTTTATTATGTCAGTCCATTTATATACTAATCAAATGTGTATTCAATTTACATATCTCTATATACCTCTATTTAAAATTTCACTACCTTGCAAATCTTAATGACCCATATAATACTTTTTAATTAATAAATAATTTTTAGTAACTTGGCTAATTTATGTGTCATAATATAATTTTTTTTTATACATCGATTTCAAATTTCACTATCCCGAACCGCATCATATTACCTATGTAAACATCATTCCACACTGTATTGAACACTATTAATCTAAGCTCTTGACAGAAAAAAATGGCAACTGGAATAAATAAATGATTTGATTGATTTTGAACATTTTCCATCGATAAGATAGAGCTCTCGTACCGTTGGTTCTTGAATTATATGCTACTAGTATTCTCCCCGTACTACGTACCTAAAAATAAATCGATTAACACAAGTTGAATATGTAAATACAACTTTATCACAAATTTTGGATCGTAAAATTTTCTAATTATTATAAAGCATTTGCTTCTTGAACAATATTGAAAGTAAATCTGATAAAACATTTATTTGGAAGACAATATTATAATATTTAGATTTTTGTATTGTTTAGCATAAAGTAAATCTATATTATTTAGCATAAATTTATGTTGATTATTGTATAATAGAATTAATTAATATATTTGGATTGTTTTGGTGAAAAGAAGTAATTATTTTAAAAAATGTAGGTGGAGTTGTGGAGAAGTTATTTTGATCATAGTGTTAGTGGGGAGTTCAAATTGATATTAGAAATATAACAAGTTTTTTTTTTTTTTGTAATTTGTTTTATAAAAAATGATTTATTTTTCATATGTCCATATTTGATTGGACAAGTGACTTGTGTGCTTTATATTAATTAAAGGGAAAAATGTCGTTAAAATCCCCAATTTATTCAAAACGTTGATTTAAATCCTCAACTCATGACGAAACGAAATAAATATCAAACTTATGTTGACTTTCCAAATAAATATTAAACTTATGTTGACTTTCCAAATAAACACCAAACTTTCATTGACTTTCCAAATAAATATCAAACTTCCGTTGACATGACCATATTAGGTACGACGTTAAGTGGGTTAATAAATCCTCAACTCATGACAAAACGAAATAAATATCAAACTTATGTTGACTTTCCAAATAAATATCAAACTTATGTTGACTTTCCAAATAAATATCAAACTTCCGTTGACCTGGCCATATTAGGTACGACGTTAAGTGGGTTAATAGATCTCGTTAACGGAGGTAATTTTTGTTAACATATATGTTAATTGATAACGACATTGTTTCATATAACAACAAAACGACGTCGTTTTGTCGTAACGATTGAATTAAATCCCTAAAGTCAATCTTAGATCCCCAAATCGAGCAAAATCCCTAACCCTAAATAGAATATGATTTGAAACTCGGAATTTTATTGAACAGTTACGACAAAACAACGTCGTTTTATGTTTAGAAGGAATACTTGTTAGTGTTTTGATCAACAAACGAACTCTGTTTTAACAGAATATGAAGAACAAAACCAAAATGAAAAATAGAGTATGAAGAAACTTGATCTTTATTGATACGATAAAATGTATTACACACAATGATGTTATTGAGTTTGACTCGATCTACTTATACAACACGAAACAACGTGTACGTACATGTGTTAATCGAAAAGACACAACTTTACGAACAGACACAACTATACGTACGTACATTCGTGATTCTTACGTAAATAACTAACTTATATGAATACGACTTTAGGCTATATGACTTAGATGAGATTTGATTATAGTTCAAAAATACTGTCATTTTTAATTAGCGGGTTTGTTAACAGAAAATTAATCCCGTTAACATTGTCTGTTAACTCACTTAACGTCATGCCTAATATAGCCAAGTCAATGAAAGTTTGGTGTTTATTTGGAAAGTCAACATAAGTTTAATATTTATTTGGAAAGTCAACATAAGTTTGATATTTATTTCGTTTCGTCGTGAGTTGAGGATTTAAATCAACGTTTTGAATAAATTGGGGATTTTAACGACATTTTTCCCATTAATTAAAGGATACGAAAAGTTTGGTTCAATTTCTTCCGGTTCATTAAAGTTACCGGTTAATATTCGGTAAACCGGGACAGCTTGACTTGACCGAAGAAGAGCACTAGTTTCGTTTTCCTCTTGATGTTTCGGTTTCTACGAAGCATTTGCAAAATCTTATGGAACTGAAGAAAGCTTGAGACTTTTCCCTGGTAATTTGCAGTTTCTTAAAATCTTTGCTTCTAAATGGCCATAGAAACAACTTTTATCCCAACTCTCATCCTCTCTTCTCACTGAAACCCCTAAAATTTGGGTCTTGGAGTATATAGGTACATGTCGAAGCTTTACTCATTTTCTTTAGTTTTTGTGGTTTCTTTGTGAATTGGGTATCAAACCTTTCTCTGTTAGGTAATCATGTTGTTAGAGAAGATGGATCATGTTAGCAGACTACTAGACGGTGTTCTTTGTCATATATTGCCCTTCCTTACCACAAAGGAAGCTGCTTTGACTTCGATTCTCTGCAAGAGATGGCGTAATCTGCTTACGTTTGTCCCTAATCTTGATATTGATGACTCTGTCTTTCTCCGTCCCGAAGAGGGTAAGGAGGATAGGTACGATATTCAACAGAGCTTCATGGAATTTGTTGATAGAGTGTTGGCATTGCAGGGTAATTCTCCCATTAAGAAATTCTCCCTCAAGTTTAGAACTTGCTTTGATTCTTCACACCGAGTCGATGGTTGGATAAGTAATGCCTTGGCTCGTGGTGTTTCCGAACTTGATTTGCTAATCATTTTGTATAGAGCAGATTACTTTCTGCTGTCTTCAAAATGTTTCAAGAGCAGGAATCTGGTTACGCTGAAGCTAAACAGTGTTTGTGTTGATTGGTTGGCTTCTGGGGATGTATTCTTACCAATGCTTAAAACTCTCGTTCTTCACTCGGTTAGGTTATGTGTTGATAAGTTTTTTTTTCGTGCTTTGCCTGCGCTTGAGGAATTAGTCTTGTTTGCTGTTAGCTGGGGAGATAAGGATGTCACTGTGTCAAATGCAAGCCTCAAGACCCTAACAATAAATTTCAACTATTGTTTAGGCACCTTTTCGCTTGATACACCTAGTCTTGTTTACTTCTGTTTCTCTGAGTATGTTGCTATAGACTACCCCGTAGTTATAATGCAAAACTTATTTGAGGCTAGAATCAGCCTTTTGGTAACTGAAGAGCAAATCGAGCGAGCAAGAGCGCCAAATATCGATTGGGTGGAGGACGATGCTGTTCTCCGATTAGTTAACGTGGAGAAGCTCATGAAAGGCATACGAAATGTTCAGTATCTGAACTTGTCTCCCAATACTCTCGAGGTCAGTTATGAAGGTCTTGTTTTGAGACATGTAATGGCAAAATGTCTAATTGTGGTTTGTCTTGTTTTCAGGTACTTTCTCTGTGTTGTGAATCGATGCCAGTGTTCAACAACCTCAAATTGTTAACTCTTAAGAGTCACAAGAGTCGAGGTTGGCAAGCAATGCCAGTTCTTCTAAGGAACTGTCCACATCTAGAAACTCTAGTCCTTGAGGTATAGTTACAAGTCATTTGCCAAACGTGTACAGACATAAAGTTCTTATTTTGAATTGAAATTTGTCTCCTTTTATGCTTTCAGGGTCTCTTGCACCATGTCACAGATAAATGCGGGTATGCTTGTGACTGTGTTTCCCAAGAAGACAAAGGTCATTCTCTCACATCTTGTCCAGTAAAAGTGTTAGAGGTTAAAGGGTTTCGAACAATAAAAGAGATGCACATGATAAAGCATTTCATGAACTATTTTCCTTGTTTGAAGGAGACAAATATTTATATTGAAGAGAATGGTTCTAGACAGCTCAGAGTCCCTCAAGTGTCTGAAGTTATCGCGGAGATGATGGAACACTACGAAAAATCATCCAGTGTCCAGCTCCTAGTTGGTGGTTCCTTTTATAAGAAGTGGACTGCACAATGAAGTCTCTAAAGATTAAAAGTTTCTCATAGTTATGCCAAAGTCTCCTTGAAACTGTTTCAAACGAAACCAATCGGGAAACTGTAGTTTCTTTTCGTCTTCTTCTTTTTCGAATGTTTACAGTCAATTCTGTTGATTGCCATCAATTTTCTTTGAGTTGTTCTTCGTTGAAGCCAAATGAAAAAAGGTACAACATAAGCCTAACTTAGGCTTACTATCGCAAAACTGAACAAAGTTTCCTATGGCTTGTCTAGATTTCGCTCTCTGGAGTTGAACGTTCTTTGAAAATGAAACCGTTTCAATGCTTCGACATCTCCTGGTTTCAAATACGAAAACAAGCCTTCATATCTTGAAAATAGATAATGTGACTCAAGTTTTATTAGTAGCTTCGTCGGAAAAACAAGCAAAATTAAGTAGAGGTAGTAATCATGTTTTTGCTGTTATCTAGTTGCCCTTGCAGTCAAGTTTGTCAAAGGTGAGGCCTTGGAAAGTGACAATATCGTGGACAAAATCTTATGTGATTTGTTATGCTTTATCACCTTTTAAACTCTTAGACATATAATTTATGAAGATTGAAGATATGACCTATATAGGGTTTTTTTTTTTTTTTTTTTTCGTTTTTTTGGTTTTTATGTTGATTTGATGGAGGTGATACGGAGACGTGATGGAGGTGATACGGGGACGTTTCCGAAACATTTATAAGAAATAGGAAATTTAACTATTTTTCATTAAAATCCCAAATTAAAAAGGAATAAAAGAGCTTAATTATTCTAGGGTTTTATATTAGATATCGTATCGCCTCTCTTCTTCACCGCCACCTCTTCTCTTCCTGTTTGAGACTTTGACGTTATTTAGCTTTGATGTGAAGTCACTCACGTCTCTCATGTCAACGTTACTCACCATCACCAAGTCACCACACCAACCTCTTGGACCAGAACGAACAAGTATGTTCGATTTCTTGTCTCTTCATTGTTGCCTACTTGCCTTGTTTGTTCTTTATTGTCGTTTGATTTGTGATTTGTGAATAGTACACATGCTCCGATGTTTTACTTATCTGATTTAACTTTACTGATTTTGATTATGCATCTAATGTCGAATTTTTTTGGCGCAGTTTCTGCCAGGCCCTAGCGCGAGAATGAGAATTGATTTGTCATTGAAAGGAAGAAGTGCAATTCGGGGATGTTGTCAATTGGGATTGACGCCAGGGCAAAGTAAAATGAAGAAGAAGAAGGTTTGTGGGTTATGGTCGTTGCCAGATGCGGTGGTTGTGAACTGCCTTGCTCAGTTGTCGAGATTGGACCTCGCGGCCTTAGCTATTGCTTCCAAGAATCACCGGTCTCTGGTGGTTTCCCCTGAGCTCAGGGACTTGAGATGGCAGCAGCGTTGCATGGAGCCATCTCTCTACGTATGCTTGCGCATCTTTCCAGAACCAAGCCCACGCTGGTTCATCCTCCACCCCAAGCAACGTTGGCTGAAACCGATCCATATGGACTTGTATCAGGCTCCGAAATCAGCCTCCTCTTTTGTAGTGATGGCTTGTGGCATATATATTATTGGTGGACTCGTAGACGGCAAACCCACTTCCGAAGTCTCGTTTTTCGATTGTTTCGAGCACAGATGGTATCGCTTGCCGCCAATGAAGATGGCTCGTGCTTCCGCATCGGCAAGCCTGATGACAGATTCGAAGATATATGTGTTTGGAGGGTGCGGGGAAGATGTCGCCAATTCCTCAAACTGGGCAGAGGTGTTCGATGTCGCTACCCTAACTTGGGATTTCTTGTATGTGTTTACGCCCAAGATGCCCCTTAATATCCAACAAAGTGTGGTAATGATAAAAGAGAAGGAGGTTTACGTAGTGGATGAGGATGGTCAAAACTTCTCTTTCTCACCAAGTAAATGTATGTTTGTGGCAAGGGGCAAAACAGATTCTATACCAGGAAACATTTACAGAAACGATTGGTGTGTCATTGGGACATTCTTATTTTGTCGTGGTACCCGCGGAAGAATATTGTGGTGTTTGCCCTATGAGTTGCATTGGAAGGAAGTCAAGGGTTTGGAAGAACTGCAACAGTGGGGATTTGATATCACCAAACTTTGCACCAACCCTGCTGGGAATATTGTTATCTTTTGGAAACCGCATCCTCAGAGTTTGGAGCTTTGGTCTGCCGAGATTTCCATATCCTTGGTGAAACGCAGACGCAGTGGACGCGAGATTTTGGGGAAGATTGAATGGTCTGGTGCTGTCTTCAAACTTGATCCTCTCATAGACTCATCATATAGCTTAAAGGTCTTATGTGCAAATTATGTCCTTGCTTGAAATATTTAAGTGTTTAAACTATTTATTTATTCATATATCTCTAGCTTTATACTCTTGTGTTCCTCTCGTTTGGCAAAGTAAATTCTGATATCTACATAGATTTTAACATGTTATTTGATATTTCTCCAAGGGTAAACTAAAAATGTCATTACCACCACCACCATACATCTATAGCTCCCCACCAGCATACATCTATAGCTCCCCTTCTCCTAAAGTTGACTACAAGTCTCCACCACCACCATACGTCTACAGCTCCCCACCACCTCCACCGTACTACTCCCCTTCTCCTAAGGTAGACTACAAGTCTCCACCCCCACCATACGCCTACAGCTCCCCACCACCTCCACCGTACTACTCCCCTTCTTCTAAGATAGACTACAAGTCTCCACCACCACCATACGTCTACAGCTCCCCACCACCTCCACCGTGGTCTGTTCGTAGGAAATTGGAAGTGAATATACCTTCGAATTTCCTACCAATTCTTTCCTATGGCTTTCCTTCCACTTTCTTACGAAATTTCCTACAACATTTTTTCCAGATGACTTTCGCAGAAGATTTTCTACAATCTACATTACATTATTTATTATGTTATACAAATTATTTATCCCTATTAATCATCTCACATTTTTTTCTTCTTGTTATACGATTATAAAGAGTCGAGTCTTCGATTAATCAGGAAAAACAAAAAGTTTGTTGATTTATAGGATTTTCTATTGTTCTATATTTACAAAATAAAATTAGTTTTGGTGTTATTTGTGATCATTGTAATACTGCTTCCCTCCACTTCATGCCAATTTGAAGTTTGAACACATAGTTTATTGGCAAGTTTTAAGAAGTCTCACTAGAGTTTTGCTAAGTACACGAGCAAGAGCAAATCCGTCCCTTGATTTAAAGAACATGGTTTGCAAAGATAAGATTTTTTGTTGGTTATTATCTGTCAAGTTAAACAAGTGTAACCAACGATGAGTTGGCCTAGTAGTTAAGCCCTTTGGTTACCGATAATGTAGGGACCTTGGAGGTCACGGGTTCGATTCACGTTGTGAGTGGTCTGCTCTCCAAAGGGGAGTTATGTTACATGGTTTGGGCCTCGCCCTGGGGGATGTACGGGCCTACGGGCTCAGAACCTTCTAGTCATCAAAAAAAAAAAAAAAAAAGTTAAACAAGTGTGTTCTCAGATTTATTTTATGTTTAATTCAAAGGTGTTAGAATTTTTTTGTATGCTTAAACAATTGTGTCATATCTATATATAAATTTTTGAAGTACATTTGTTAGCGGGTGGGTTAAATTGTTATCCGATAAATTTGGTACCCGATCCGATAAGAAATTTTCTTCATAAATCTTACACCAGATGGTTCATATTTTTTTGGATCGGGTCAAAACATATCCGAAATTATGAACCTAATATTCCATATTTAAAAATATAGATATTTAGAAGATTTGGTTAAGATTTGAAAATACAATTCTCCGCTATCATCTTTGTTTGAACATTTTTTAACTGTTTTGAATCCTCATATAATACATAATGTTAAAAAAAATCTCAATATTTTTTATGTATATATTGGGATTCGAAATTTTTAAAACGGATATATTACCCAATTGATGAAAAAGGTGTGTGTTCAACGTCCCATATCGGCTAAAATATTAAGATATTGATTCAGAATCATATTATAAATAAGATCAATATGAATCCAAATCCGAATGAACAACAAGCTCGACTTAATAAACATCCAAATTTTAAATTATATACCGTTTCATTCAGTTTTTTAGTTTAATTCCTTTTACCGGAAATGTTAAATTTTAAACTTTTAAAAAGTTTTAAATAATATAATTCATATATTTAAAATCAATAAAAAGTTTATAATATTATGAACATTTGAACATATATAAAGAGTTATAATAACACGTGACGGGTTATATTGGTAGACAAGGTTATACAACGGAACGAGTTTTTAAGAAGTTTTAAATATTATAATTTATATATTTAAAATCAATAAAAAGTTTATAATATAAAAACATTTGAACATATATAAAGAGTTAAAATAACATGGGACGGTTATATTGCAGGACGAGTTTGAATAAAAAAAATTTAAAACATCATTAACCCGTTGCTTCAATACAGTTAAATTTTTTTTTTTATTACTTTTTTAACGCCACCAATATTGGAAATATCGAATGATCCTGATTAAAGTAAATTGTATAAAACAAAATTTGTCTCCTGGTATATCGTTATTTAATAACAATTGTAAACTATAAAGTATAAATATCTTATAAAATGATACAACTTGCAAATTTGTTTATATAATATATAACCATTAAATTTTGAAAATTATTAATTTTAAAAGAAAATTGTCTCGCGGTGTACTTTGGGTTAAAATCTAGTGTATATAAGTATAAACGATTGTTTGTATTGCAGATGACCTTTTCTCAATTTGTATTGTGTATGCTTAACTATGTCAAATGTCGAAGGTTTGATTCTATTCACGGGTCTTACAATTTTAAAAAGAATTCAAATCCTAAGCACCAAATGACGTTGTTTTACAAAGCAAAATTGCTACCTCGTCAGACACTTGTCAGCTGAGTCAGCAACCGTAAATTTTGACTAACATCCATTAACGATGATTCTGAACTCAAAATAGAGAATTAGGATATGCAATTTAAATTTAGCGTTGGAGTAGAAATTAGCACTAGAACGTTTATACATATCGGAAAAGTCACTTTACGAATTGTTGTGGTTGAAAAAGACTTTTTGCGTTGTTCAGTAAACCTAAAAGTAAATTGAAAAAATTATAATAATTAAGAGATTCAACTAAACTAGTTATATGTAGTGTTTAAGTGAATCATTTAAAATAAAAATGATTTTTAGTTTGAACAGATTCATTGCTACTTAATTTACGTACCTAATATGATTTTGAAATGTAAGTGATATCAATTGTTTGACCAAGATTAATCTCCAAAAAACCAATTAAACTTGAAAAAAAAAAAAAGAAAGAAAAGATTTTACCTATTTTGAAAAATCCATTATATATCACTTGCAGATCCACTATAAAAGAAATTTGAATAGGGGTATGCTGTTATTTTGTTTCTTAGTTAAGCCAAACAATTAAAGTAAATACTTTCAACATTTAACACCAAGTCTAATACAGTTGTGGTCAGCAAAATTATCTATCTAAACGGGAAAGTTTTTAATTTTATACCCCCTTCAGATGGTCAGCAAAATCATTTAAACACAGTCAACAAAACTTAATAACAACCCTTTTGACCAAATTACACTGTTTACATAACCAAATAAAACTATAAATTAAAATATTATATATAACCCATAATATAGAAAAACCATAGACAAAACTAAGATAGTCAGTTCCCATTATCAAAAAGAGGAAAGGTAATATGTTTAATTTCAAAAGAAGTTTTTGAAAGACATGGAACTTTTTTTCCAAATATTTGTAAGAATATTAGATTTGATCTATAGTTATTATTAGTATGCTTATTAGACATGAAATACTGTTTTTTAACGTTCGAGTTTAAACCTTATACCTTTTTTTTTTTTGGTTTCTCTAGAATATTCTAACAAACATTTGTTGTAGTCTCTAGCAACATAAACAATGGCCATCGAGAAGTTTTCACATGTTCTATTACTTTCGTTGATTCTGTTTGGTCTCATCCTTCCGTCCATATTTTCAGGTAACACATTTATATATTCAGGGTTAAATTATCTTAAATGCAAATATTTTTTGTCTACGGTATAGATTATGGTCAGGGACTTGTAGGCTTACTCGGAGATTTTCTTTTAAAAATTTGGGATGCTTCTATCAACGTACACAAAATAAGTAATCATGAATTCTCTGTATTAACATGTTGAAATATTAGTTTTACATTTAAAGAAAAAACACAATATTTACAAAGTATGAAGGAGTAAACTGGTGTTGCCGTGATAGTTGTGGATGAAAATACACCTAACATGCTGCTTTTATTTTGAAACTTTATCCGAGTTTTCTAATAAGAGTTACTCCAGTGTGAACAGTGATATTTTTTGAAGTTAATAAAATGTTATCATTTCATTTATCATAAAAATAGCTTTTTAATATCGATGTCTATTGTTTGGTCTAGAAGACTAATAGTTTAAAAAAATTAAACGAAAGATTTTGTCTTGTAATTTTCTCTTACATTTTATTTACAAATTTTTTTTTGTGTAAACATTTTATGGGAAAGAAATTCATTCATCTCCACTATGATTGAAGGTATTTTGATTTGTTAAAGGTGGCAATTTCAATTGGAAGAAATATATTGATACTTTAAAAAGAAATTATGGCATCGCTAAGAGTTTAACTCCAAAAAAAAAACTTTAAAATGTGTATTGTTATTTTAAAAAGAATACCAAAATTCAGCGATTTGGAATCAGAAACATAAACATGCACAGTTTTGTTCTTAAAGTCTTGTTAATGTCTTTGTTTATGCAGTCGAAGTCACACCATGTATACAAGGATCAGTATGTTCAAACGATATGACTTGCAATGAACTTTGTAGATTTAAAGGATATAAACGAGGAGGGTTCTGTGAAAAATATGTTGGCAAAACGACCGGCCATTGTTGTTGCTATCCGGGATTTGAATCTCATGACTCTTTCGTATCCGATGACACCAATGTACTCATTACTAACTAAATTATCATTTATATGTATTTTCTACTATCAGAATAATCAACATATATATATTCAAATATGTTTCAATATCGATTATATATTGTGGATGCAAAAACCTAGGATCAAATATTTGTATAAGGGTTTAAGGAAATTTAGGGGTACATCCTCCGAATTGACGGAGATATTAAGAATGCCTTTAACGAACTGGATTTTATAAGAACTAGGTAATGACATTTTTAGTTTACCCTTTGAGAAATATCAAATAACATGTTAAAATCTATGTTATTTTGTTTCTTAGTTAAAGCCAAACAATTAAAGTAAATACTTTCAACATTTAACACCAAGTGTAATACAATTGTGGTCAGCAAAATTATTTATCTAAACGGGAAAGTTTTTTATATCCTCTTCAGATGGTCAGCAAAATCAATTAAACACAATCAGCATAAGTTAATTAAAAACCCTTTTGACCAAATTAATTACATTGTTTACATAACCAAATAAAACTATAAATTAAAATGTTATATATAACCCATAATATAGAAAAACCATAGACAAAACTAAGATAGTCAGTTCCCAATATCAAAAAGAGAAAAGGTAAATTGAGTTGTAAATATGTTTAATTTCAAAAGAAGTTTTTTCTCAAATATTTGTAAGAATATTAGATTTGATCTATAGTTACTATTAATATGCTTATTAGACATGAAATTGTTTTTTAACGTTCGAGTTTAAACCTTATACTTTTTCTTTTGTTTCTCCAGAATATTCTAACAAACATTTGTTGTAGTCTCTAGCAACATAAACAATGGCCATCGAGAAGTTTTCACATGTTCTATTACTTTCGTTGATTTTGTTTGCTCTCATCCTTCCGTCCGTGTTTTCAGGTAACACATTTATATTCAGGGTTAAATGCAAATATTTTTTTTGTCTACGGTATAGATTATGGTCAGAGACTTGGTGGCGTAGTCGGAGATTTTCTTTGAAAAAATTGGGATTCTTCTATCAACGTACACAAAATAATACTTTAAGAGTTTACGGTATTTATGGCATCGCTAAGAGTTTACCTTAAAAAAAAAAAACCTTTAAAATTTGTATAGTTATTAATCTAAAAATTATACCAAAATTCAGCGATTTGGAATCAGAAACATAAACATGCACAGTTTTGTTCTTAAGTCTTGTTAATGTCTTTGTTTATGCAGTCAAAGGCACACCATGTATACAAGGATCAGTATGTTCAAACGATATGACTTGCAATGAACTTTGTAAATTTAAAGGATATAAACTAGGAGGGTTCTGTCAAAAATATGTTGGCAAAACGACCGGCCATTGTTGTTGCTTTCCGGGATTTGAATCTCATGACTCTTTCATATCCGATGACACCAATGTACTCATTACTAACTAAATCATCGCTTTATATGTATTTTCTATTATCAGAATAATCAACATATATTCAAATATGTTTCAATATCGATTATATATTGTGGATGCAAAAACCTAGGATCAAATATTTGTATAAGGGTTTAAGGAAATTTAGGGGTACATCCTCCGAATTGACCGAGATATTAAGAATGCCTTTGTAATACATATTAAGAATGACCGAGAGTTGTATACATATGGTGGTAGTGGAGAGTTGTATTCCACTTTTGGAGAAAGAGAGTAGTACGGTGGAGGAGGTGGAGAGCTGTATACGGATGGTGGTGATGGAGACTTATAGTCTAGTTTAGGAAAAGGAAAGCTGTTTGGTAGAGGTGAAGGGGAACTGTAGACATATGACTCTGGATGTGGTGCGTACATAGGCTCTTGTCTTCTATATTGTGGTGGTGGAGGTGGTGGTGATTCTGAAGGTTAAGGAGAATACTTTTTGGGTGGATAAGGGGAAGTGTATTGTGGTGTTGAAGGGGATGAGTCGTATGCTATCACTATAGCGGCAATGGCACTAAAGACCACGACATAAACGACCAAACAATGACCAAGCCCTATCATTCTTGAGGATCTCATCGTACCCGTAGCTGCTCTTTTAATCTCCTTTTGTTTTTGTTTTTCTTTTTGTTATGATATAGTTCAACATGAGAATCCTTTATATAAGATCGTTTTGTGTAATAAATAACTTATCTTCTCCATTTGGGTTCGTGTGTGGCACTTACAAATAATTTTGAAGACGTGCTAAGTTGCTTGTGAAAAGTAGTGATTGTAAGGGAATATGAATATCTGAGATTCTCATGCAAATATCAATAAATTTTTTTTTTTTTTTTTTGCCATCTATCAATAAGTTTAAGATATCTTCACATTCTTTTGTAAATTTTTTATAGCAACTTGATTTAAAGAAACATCAGAAGCCATATATTGATGATATTTTTGCCATAATGGTTTTTTTTTAATGTGAGAACGCGTAATTATTACATGTATATGATTAGTTGAAAAATGATATAAAACTCTGATTAGTAGTGCTTGTGGGAATTTTGTTGTATGAAGTGTATTCTGGATTTCATAATCATGTGTCATAAAAATAGAGTTAAAAATACTGAAAAGAAAAGAGAGAGTCTCACCTAGTTGATACAATAGAATGTATAATCCATATTGAAACATATTATTCTGATAATAGAGGATACATAAAATGAGTAACTAATTAGTAATGAGTACATTGGTATCACCGGATGTGGAAGACTCTTGAGATTCAAAACCAGGATGGCAGCAACACTGACCGGTTGTTTTGTGAACATATTTTTGACAAAACCCTCCTTTGCTGAATCCTTTAAATCTACAAAGTTCATTGCATGTCATATCGTTTGTACATTTTGATCCCGGTATACATGGTATGACTTCAACTGCATAAACAAACACATTAACAAGATTATAAGTACAAAAACGATCGATTGATTATTTTATGAATTTGTGTTACTAGTGCATGTTTATGTTTCTGATTCCAATTCGGGTGGGTTTGATAATATTTTTTACAATAACAATATAAATTTTAAAGTTTTTTTTAAAACTAAATTGTGAGCGATAGCCATTATTTCTTTTCAAACTGTTAACATATTTTCCAATTTAAATCGCCACCTTTAAAATAACACAAAATGACCTTCCGTTATAGTGGAGTTGACTGAATCTTTTCTTAAAGAAAAATATACACAACAAAGAAATTTGTAACTAAATGTAAAAAAATATAACATGATTAAATCTTTTGTTTTAAAATTATTTCACTATTCATCTTTTAGACTAAACAATACGCATCAATATAAAAAGCTAATTTTTATGATAAATGAAACCATACATTTTACTAACTATAAAAATTACTATCATTTTTCACACGACTTATTAATAAACATTTCAAAATAAAAGCATTTAACGTGTATTTACATTCACAAATGTTTTTGTTCAAATGTAAAACTAATTTTAAAATATTTTTGTTTTCTTCACATGTAAAACTAATATTTAAACATGTTAATGCAAATACAGAGAATTTTGATCATTTTATTTCGTGTATATTGCTGGTAGAAGCATCCCAATTTTTTCAAAGAAATCTTTAAATAAGACTTCAGGTCTCCCACCATGATATCAGAGAAAAATAAACAAAAATAATCGCATTTAAGACAATTTAATTCTGAGTAAATATAGTATGTGTTACCTGAAATTATGGATGGGAGGATGAGAGCAAACACCATCAACAAAAGTAAGAGAAAATATGAAAACTTCTGAATGGCCATTGTTTATGTTGCTAAAAACATACAACAACTCTGTGTTAGAATATTCTTGAGAAACAAAAAAAAAACTTTAGAAAAGTACACTGATAGTCTGATAGTAAGAATATTAGATTTTACAAATATTTGAAAGATGTTATTGACACTGTTTGATATTCAAGTGGTTGTCTTTCAACATTTCTTATGAAATTATACAACCCAATTTACCTTTCTTTTCGATATTTAGATGTTGGGAATTGACTGTTTTTTTTTATCTATGGTTTTTCTATATTATATATGGAGTATTTGTTTTATTTGGTTATTTAAACAATGATGATTTGGTCAAAGGGGTTGTTATTAATTTATAATCAGGTTCATGATTGTCTTTAAATAGTTTTGTTGACCACCATTTTATCTGAAGGGGTTATAATTTTATTTCCAGTTTAGATAAATAGTTAAGCTGACCACAATTGTATTAGACTTGCTTTTAAACGTTGATAGTATCTACTTTAATTGTTTGGCTTTGACTTTTTAAAATAGGTAGAATTTTTTTAAAACGTTTATTTGGTTATTCAGACGGTGTTCTTGGTCAAAACTCAAAACAATTGATAAATCTGTTGGGGGCTAAAAAATCATTTTTTTATTTTAGACTAATCATTTAGAGTCATTGTTTAAATTTATTTTAATCGTGTTTAAGTTAATAAAAAATTTCTGCAGTAATATAGATAAATAATATTGGGGTCATTTTGAAAAATACCCTGTTTTTGAGTTATACTTTGAAAAATACCCCTTTTTCCTATTTTTAATGAAAACTACAATCTTTTATATATAAAATGACAGTTTGGTATTAACTTAAATTTAAAGCTATATTTTTAATAAATCAAAACTAAATTCGAAATTTAGAGGAAAAAAAATTCAAAATTCGAATTATATATATTTTTAACACAAATATGGTTTATTAATTTTATATATTAAAATTTAACCAAATAAAAATATTATAAAATCTTTCACGATTTACTTGAACCGCCCTTGGAAATAGTCATATCATCTGGCATAAGTGGGTATAGAAACTCTGTGGTTAGTCGAAGAGGGTTTTCCACCGATCTCTGTGTAACAATCCGGGTCACGTAAGAGAATTTGAGATATTTTTGAAAGTATTCACATGTCAGATCCAAACTTTAAAATTAAGGTCTTTCGTCTTTGCACTTGCTAGGAGGAGAAAAGATTAAACAATTGTTTTATATCACTACTACAAGAAAGCATGCTATTTTCGAGGAAACAAAGTTGTATATAGTCGTCGCACTTTCCACGCAAATTTGTTACGTTCAATCTTTTCATAGTATGAATGCGAAAATACGACGCAGTAGCGACAAATCTTAGGGAAAATAGATAATTCGTCGTAATATAGATGACACATTAGAGATGAAATATAATGGTAGATGATAAACGTTTTTAAAATATGTTACCCTCTTTTTGTAAAGAAGAAGTTGTCTCGCAATTGCGTCACAAATTCGTCGATTCATTCTTCGCAATTTCGTAGCTGATATATCATGCAAATATCTCGCAAAAAATATATGTATGTCTATATAAACCGAAGTTGGCAAGAGTAAGTGAGTAAAGAAGAAATATATTCTCTTAAAAATAAACACTTTCTTAAAATCTTCTTTTGACGATTAAATATATTTTTTCAAATGTTGGAGCGAAATAATGTCTCATGAAAATTATGTTTGACGAGAGTGGATGTATAAACACAGAAATTTCAATGGATGGATTAGAAGAATTCACAGAAAACGCAAATCAAATGTCATTGACGTAGAAAACCGGTAACATCTACTAACTAAGTCAAAAGTGCAAAAATGTTCAAAAATATTTCTATCAAAACCGTCGGAAGACATTCATATAATAGAAAAAGGGAAAAAACCCGAAAAAACCTCCATCTATTTTTAATTTGGCTGTTTAATACCTCTAGTATTAAATTTGGAAGAAAAATACTTTAGTTAATTTTGATTGCCTATTAAAACCTTTGTTTTTTTAAAGTTGGTATAATCGTACCTCCGAGTTATCTTCTGTTAACTATCATAACGGAATCGTTAACTGTGGTCAAAACTTAACTCATGGTAATTAAGTATATATATACAATCACTTTTCTTTCTTTTATGAATGTTTCCGTAGTCAGATGGTTAAACGTTGGTTTAATATACTTCAGAGCCTGGCTTCGAGTGCCTCCTCCGTCTCTAAAGACGTTTTTTTTTTTTAAACTTTTTCTTCATTATAACTCATTATCTTCTCACTGTAAACCCTAGATCTTTAGCATTGCGATTGAATTGAGGAAATCTCTGATTAGGATCTTCTAGTTTTCACAATTGAAAAATAAGAAGATCTAGGGTTTAACATCAATTGAGACGAAGAGAGAAAAATAAGTATTGGCAGATTTGAAATTAGAAAAGCCCAGATGAATTTGAGGAGATTAGATCAAAACCCAAATCAATTTAATTCTTCAATTGCTTCATTGATGGAACTGATTATCATGATAATGGTGACTAACTGAGAAGAAGGGTCGAGGAAGAAGACGAAAAAAAAAAACAGCAACAAAAAAACCGTAGGTGAGGTTTCGAACCAAGGCTCAGGAGAAAAATAAGCCCACGTTAAACCACCTGACTACCGTAAATTAATCAGAAAATGAGAAAAGGGATTGTATATATCTACTTAATCACCATGGGTTAAGTTTTGACCGCAGTTAGCGATTCCGTTAGGATAGTTAACAGAAGTTAACTCGGAGGTACGATTATACCAACTTTAAAAAAACGAAGGTTTTAATAGGCAACCAAAATTAACTAAGGTATTTTTCTTCCAAATTTAATACTAGAGGTATTAAACGGCCAAATTAAAAATAGATGGCGGTTTTTTCGGGTTTTTTCCCAATAGAAAAATTATACCAAATTATTATATATAGTTTTTGCATAGTGAGACAAATATGATGTATACAACGTCTTGTAGAACGTTTTCAACATGTAGAGCATGGTAATCATTCACGACTCTATCATTCAAAAACGATGCACAATTTTGCAACAAAATTTTCCTAACTCATCCGACGATAAATGTATCGTTTTCGTTGTCACCATCAAACAAAAAAAAAAAAAAAAACTGTATAAAAATGAGAAACAAATACAAAAAAAAACGTATTTATGTTTCACCCTCTTTTATGCTATTTTCTACCGCTGTCGTTTAACTATTTTGGTAAAAGTGTTTGTGCGCGTTTAAAAAAAAAAAACTTTTACCATTTTAGATCCAATAAGACCTCTATTTCCTTCACAAGTTAATATGTGGTAGGTAATTTTAAAACTTAACAATCTGAGAAGACACTGGTTTAACTTGACAGTCAACCAAACCAAAACCTTTGCAATCCGGCCGGTTTAAGTTGACTAGCCGGTCTAAATCCGAACACTTAAACCAAAACCTAAATCCGGTTAAAGAAAACTCTACATTTGTCAGCTTCGTCTTCTTCACCAACTACCCCATTTCTGCTTCTGCTTCTACTTAGAGAGAGACAAAGAGAGATCGCGTCGGCACAATCTGCAATTCCCAACATCGACATGTTTAACTCTATGGCGTTGGTGATTTTCGCCATTCTTTTCCTCTCAATCACCAACGCGTTCCCGATTCCGTCGCCGAACGGAGAGATCGACGCAATGTTAGTCCAAAACAGCCTCATCGGAGAAGATGAAGATCTAATGCCAACTGAGATCAGCCGGAGAGTACTGATGGCTCAGAAACGGTACATCGGATACGAAACCCTAAGGAGAGACATGGTTCCTTGTCAGAAACCAGGAGCTTCTTACTACGATTGTCGCTCTGGACAAGCTAATTCTTACAACAGAGGCTGCGAGACCATTACAAGATGTGCTAGAGACACAAGCGACATCAAGACATGAAGGTAAGATCCAAGAAATTGCCAAAATTGGAAGCTTTTTAGCTTTTGGTCTGAAATTCAGAGGCAAGTAAGTTCTATATATGTTTTGAGCCTTTTTGATATATGAATTGTTGTTATTTATAATTGTAACACTAAAACTATTTTGCTTAATTATTGGGATCTATAAATTATATGAAGATTTTTGTATAGATTGATAAAATTGGGTGTTTGTTTACTAACCAAATTAGAATCTTTTCACTTAGGATATTGAGATTTTTGCTAATTACACGATCAAGAGCAATCTTTATTCTTCAAATCAAGGACAGATTGCTCTTGCTCTTGCTTTTTGTAATTAGCAAAAATCTTGAGAAAGCAATTTAAACTTGCAATCAAATTACGTCCTGAGAAAGTCTCAACTATGTGTTTCAGATTGGCATGAAGGAAAGGGAAGCAGTATTAAAGTTATCACAAATAATACCAAAATCATCTATAGTTTAACAATAAATCTCATTCTCATCACAATAGAGTTTTATTTTTGAAAGTATAGAAAATCTTTTAAATCAACAAAATAGTCTTAAAATGTAACTAAACCATCAAATCTATAAACTCCAAAGTAATGAACATTGCAGGTCCTTTTTTTTATCTCTCTATAACGTATGAGTTTGGTGATATGAGGCTCTCCACGTACGAATTTCCGCCTAGAGACTTGTCGAATTCAACACCGCGGATTTTCAGATTCCTCCTAGTATTACGCTCAAAATTGTACAAGACCAAGTGTCCATCAAGCAGCAGAAGAACCTCCTCGTTATTCTTGGTCGAACACAGCGGTATCATGCGTTTGTAGGAAACGCTGATTCGAATCTTACTCCATGAACACTCACGGCCGTACTCGTTCATTACCCATATAACATCATGCATCTTCATGCACAAATAAACCACACAAAGTCGCCCTTTGAGAATACCGACCTTGGATCTCTGAAAGATATGCTTACATTCCTCGGCCAAATCAGGTAATGACATAACTCAGAACTTCTCTGTCGTAAGGTCAAATGCCGTAACCACTTTCGGAGTAGTTTCTCCTCCTCTAAGTATGGAAATCCAATGGATAGCTCCGTTGAGTTCCACAGAGGTAAGAAAACAAACGTCTTTATAAGGCATATTGCATATTCGTCTCCAAGAATCTGTCTTCAACGAGTAGACATAATTGTCGTTACCATCCATAAACTTCACCACTTTGTAATCATTGGTTTGAGAATCGAAACCAAATCCATAACTAAACGAAGTTTTATTGGATTTGGAACTCAGAGACTCAGGTAAGTCCGGTACTCTCTTGCATTCTCCGGTGGTCGGGTTATACAAGAAGACATCGTTTAAACTCAAGATGTTAGCCATACACACCAACCCGTTCGAAGATCCAAAGAAACAAACCCAACGTTTTTTATATATTCCTGACGAATAAGTTCCATCTGGATTCAGTTTCAATTGAGCTTTCTTATATACTTCAGATAAGAAATCTACATCTTCTTTAAGCGGGTAATCGAGTTCCACAGAAGTCAAATCTTTAAGACCTTCACAACCATCACGGATCGAATCTAAATCTACTGCAAATAGATTATTGGAAGACAGTATAAGTCTACGGTGGCCCAATCGTACCGCGTTATGATCGAGATGCTTTTTCGCAAACTTAGGATCGGATAAGAGAGAGTGAAAAGGCTTTGACACGCATCTGAATCTCCCTAATGATCTAGCATGTGATCGAAGGAGAATTTCTGTGATTACCTCTTGAGGAAGGTAGGGCAATTTCGTCGGTGAAGCTTCGTGATTGCTCCCAACTCTCCCCCTCTTCGTCGCCTCCATTATTGTTCTCTGAACAGAAACCTTTATTTCTAAATGATTTAAAAGGCAATACTATCGTGATTCTTAAAGCTATTTATATGTGCCGTTCAATAGGAAGGCTACCCTAAACCTAGCTTACACAACAAACTAAATAAAATATAAGGCAATATTCTTATACAATCATCCCATCGTCTAATTTGACTAACATATGTAGTTATAAAAATAAAAATGAAAATCATATTTAATAACATCCAAACGTGTCCAAATCGTCTAGTCTAATATAAAGTGTTTCGCATCCTTCAATCGTCTAGTTCCTTGCAATTATGATATGGAGAAATTGTTCGTGATCTCTCCGCTTGCATTACGGCCACGGGTTTCTTTCGGATTTTGTTCTTTCGGGGTTCGTTTCGGATCCAAAACTATCCAGAAAAAAAACGGATTCGAACTATTCAAAAATACTCAAAATATCTGAATTAACCAAAAATTTGGTTAAAAACCCCCAAGTATCCCAAAGTACTCACAAGTATTTGAATTACCCAAAAAATCTGTTTACAAAAACTACTCAAACTCCCTGAAATATTCAAAAGTATATAAATCACCCAAAGCTTGGGGTTTTTTCGAGTACTAGTTCAGGTTTCAGTTCGGATTGGGTATTATCCGATATCCGAATACCAAGCCTTAAGACCCATTCGGATATTTATCTAGAACGGATTTGGATTTTGATTGAGTATTTTCGGTTGGGTTTGAATTCCTACATCGAGTTCGGTTTTTTTTGCCCAGCCCTAGCTTAGTGCTGGGATGATCTAGACTAGACTCATTTGCGCAGCGTAAATTTTACATCGTCTACCCCTCTCTTTTTATCTCTCTTTGGAGGAACGTTCTCATTGTTCTTGCAAAAGTAAAAAAAATGAAATTTTCAAGGCAGATTTAGTAATGCTGACAAAGAAGAAAGGGATAGTTCGTTGAAGAAAATGAAAACGCATATTTTAGCTGAATGTTAACAAAAAGTTAGATTGGAAGAGCCTTTTTGAATTAAATTCGACATTAGAGAACTTTGAAACGTGTACGATAATAACTACAACCGCAAATCCCCCACGAATCGAACCTATGTGTTATTTCGTGTGTTAACCCACATTAAAGATGAGCATTTGAGACATTCATTCAACAAAAGTGGCTAAAATTGGGATGCCGAAAACAAGTTTCCCCCTTTTTTTTTGGTTTCTCATTTGTTTGAAGAGTACAACGTTGAACAGAACACACAAAATAAAATCAAGAGGAAACTAAACCAAAAACTAATTTAAGTTTCATGAAAAATGGAGAAAACAAGCACAACCTTCAAAAGCCAATAACCCTTATTCATAATGATATTTGGTCAACTTCATCAGAAGACCAATATCTCAAACTGTTCCACTCTTCCACCACAACCCAATACAAAACCACAAGTAGAACCCAACCTGAACCGCTCTGTCCAATCTCTCTCTCAGTACCTGTAGTGAGGAGGCTTGTATGGTCCCTCAATTGGAATGCTGATGTAGTCAGATTGGTCCTTTGACAGCTTAGTAAGCCTGGCTCCAAGCTTGCCCAAGTGAAGTGCTGCAACCTTCTCATCCAAATGCTTGGGAAGAACGTACACCTTCTTCTCGTACTTTCCGCTTGACTTCTCGTTCCATAGCTCGAGCTGGGCAATCACCTGGTTGGTGAAAGAGCAAGACATCACGAAACTTGGGTGACCAGTGGCACAACCCAAGTTCATGAGACGACCCTCAGCCAAGACAATGATTCCGGTCTTGGTCTCTGGGAACACCCACCTGTCAGTCTGGGGCTTGATGGTGATACGCTTAACACCAGGGTAAGTCTCAAGTCCGAGCATGTCGATCTCATTGTCAAAGTGACCAATGTTGCAAACAATAGCATTGTTCTTCATCTTCCTCATGTGGTCAACCATGATGATGTCTTTGTTACCAGTAGTGGTGACAAAGATATCAGCTTCAGAGACAACATCCTCAAGGGTAAGAACCTGAAGTCCTTCCATCAAAGCTTGAAGGGCACAGATGGGATCAATCTCAGTCACAATGACTCTAGCACCAGCAGTCTTCATGGCAGCAGCACAACCCTTTCCAACATCACCATATCCACAGATAACAGCAACCTTTCCAGCGATCATAACATCAGTGGCCCTCATGAGACCATCAGGGAGTGAGTGACGGCAACCATACAAATTGTCGAACTGTAAATCAACAACACGTGAAATTCTCAGTAACAGCACATAACATTAATCTGTTCTCCACTAACAATAAACAAACACAGTGATGAATATAAAATCAATAAGAAACACTGAGTTTAAAGCTAACCCTGTAACCAAGTAGAGACATTTTCCTACTACTTAGTGACTACGTTGTTGTTTAAACCTATCAGCATCAAAAACTACAGATCTAGAGACCTATCAGATTCATCATCAGTTCATCACTAGTTAAGATCAATACCTTGCTCTTGGTGACAGAGTCATTGACGTTAATGGCAGGGAACAAAAGAGTTCCATTTTCCTGCATCTGATAAAGCCTCTTAACACCAGTAGTAGTTTCCTCAGAGACACCAACAAGTCTCTCCTTCATCTTATGGTACTTCTTAGGATCAACCTGAAGACCTTCCTTGATAATAGACAACACGATCTGAAACTCAGGGTTATCAGTAGAAGTAGGATCAGGAACTTGACCAGTCTTCTCAAAAATCTCTTCAGCTTTAACACCCTCATGGATCAAAAGCGTAGCGTCACCACCATCATCAACAATCAGATCAGGACCACCACCTGGACCCCAATCAAGAGCACGCTCCGTACACCACCAATACTCCTGAAGCGTCTCACCTTTCCAGGCGAAAACAGCGGCGGAGTCACGAGCGATTGCGGCGGCGGCGTGGTCTTGAGTAGAGAAGATGTTGCAAGAACACCATCTGACTTCAGCACCGAGAGCAGTTAGGGTTTCGATGAGTACGGCGGTTTGGATCGTCATGTGAAGAGATCCGGTGATTCTAGCGCCTTTGAATGGTTGAGATGGTCCGAACTCGGTACGACAAGCCATGAGTCCAGGCATCTCAACTTCGGCGAGCTCGAGTTCGAGACGACCGAAATCGGCTTGAGACATGTCTTTGACCTTGTATTCACGGCCACTTGAGGTCTTCTCGACGAGCAACGCCATTTTTTTAGATCTGAGATTTGAAATCTGAAGGAGGCAGAGAGAGAGAGAAGTGAGTGCGAGGAGAAGAGAAGGGAGTGAGAGAGAATATATAGATGAGGTCAAAATGAAATGGACGATTGAGATTGTTTTGAGGGTTTGGTGGATCTGGTAGAAGTTATAATCCCGTGGATGGCGGAACACACTGCACGAGCGGCGTGACCCGTGTTGTGGGTTGATCGGACGGTGGTGTGGGAGGGTTACCACGTGGCTGTGTTTTATTTGTTTCGGTGAATCGTAGATCTTAGTTATTGACTTATTGAGAACCCTAACGGGCCTTCTCGGTAGCCCACGAATGAACAATCAGTTGATTTCTTTAGTTTCTTTTTTTCGATGACTATTCAAGAAGATGACTATTCAAGAATTATCAACTAGGTTATTTATTTACGGCATATTTCTGTTTTTGTTTCATTTTAGAAATTAGAATATACTATATATACTAAAACAGAGTAGTATCTGTTCAGCTAGATCTCTGGTTAATAAAGGACTTATTAAAAGGGTCGGATCGGGGAAATCCATCTCAGTTTGGGAGGATCCCTGGATTCCAGCTCAATTCCCGAGACCAGCAAAGAGTAATGGTTCACTTGTTGATCCATTGTTAAAAGTTAACAATCTTATAGATAGTCGGTCGAATTTCTGGAATATTGCTCTCTTAGAAGAGATCTTTGATCCAGAAGATATCGCCATGATAAGTGCCCTACCTGTGGGTGCACCAACTAAGGAGGATACACTAGGTTGGCATTTTACAAAATCCGGAAAATATACAGTCAAATCGGGATATCATACCGCACGGTTAGGAAATTCGGAGAAAAAATTTTCATTGATTGGACCAGACATCAAACCGTTAAAAAGCACATTCTTGGCAAGTGCGTTGTCCACCTAAGATACGTCATTTCTTATGGCAAATTTTAACGGGTTGTGTACCAGTTACGGAAAATTTGCGGAGAAGGGGAATTGATTGTGATATTGGTTGTGCTAGATGTGGCGAACTAGTGGAAACAATCAATCATACACTCTTTCAGTGCCACCCGGCACGACAGGTTTGGGCACTCTCTCAGATTCCTACAGCAATGAGAATTTTTCCAACGGAGTCTATTTTTGCAAATTTGGACCATTTATTTTGGAGAATACCTTCGGAATTTGACTCTTCAGCCTTTCCATGGATTATCTGGTATATATGGAAAGCAAGGAATGAAAAAATATTTGAAAACATTGATAAAGATCCGTTGGAGGTATTACGGTTAGCGGAAAAAGAAGCACAATTGTGGCAGTCAGCCCAAATTGAGCTTCATCATGAAACTCATGGTACTGCGGAATTGGTTAATCGTTCTCGAGTGGGGAATACTTCACTTGACTCGAATTATTCTGGATACCGTTGCTTTGTAGATGGATCGTGGAAAGAAAGTGATAAGTTCTCCGGTACAGGATGGTTTTGTACATCATCAAACGGAGAGCCGCCAACCATGGGAGCTGCAAATCTCCGTCGAAGTTTATCTCCATTACATACCGAGTTCGAGGCCCTTCTCTGGGCGATGAAGTGTATGATTGGTGCAGATAATCAAGAGGTAGTGTTCCTTACAGACTGTTCTGATCTGGTGAAGATGGTGTCTTCTCCAACCGAATGGCCGGCGTTTTCAGTGTACTTGGAGGAATTCCAGAGCGACAAGGAAGAATTCTCATCCTTCTCTTTATCTTTAATTTCTCGCAATGCTAATGTAAAAGCGGATCATCTGGCACGAAAAATTCGTACAGAACCGCTTCATATCACATTTGTAAACAACATTCCTCAGGAATGGCTCTTTTGAGCTCTAATTAATTTCGGATGACAAAAAAA